AAAAAAAAATTAACAAAAAAAAATCTCCCACAGACAGACCAGAAAAATTAGTTTTGAAATAATATCTGCAGGTTGGGTATCCCCCCCCCCAATGACGATAGCGATAGAAGGGTGAGATAATATTGTAGTATAAATGTATAATATATATATATATGTGTGTGTATGTACTTTGACGGAAAGGGAGTTTAAATTTAACTCGAACACTTTGTCGCTAATGATTTTCCATGCAGGCCATTTGTATTTGTCGTACTGTTAAACGGTGCGTCGTTACAAGGGACAACACAATCGTGCCTGAGAATCTATTTACCTTTCATGAGAAAATATTATGTGGATATATTGTGTGTATACTGGCCACGACGAAATGAATTGTACGAAACGGTATTAATACATCCGGCGCAACCACTGGCTTCCGAGGGATTGATGGTCAGTGATTTTGAAGGTTTGACACATGGGAAAGTCACGTCATGGACGCTCACGCGGTATACACATTATGACATTCATATAATATTTATATTGTTATATTTCCCTTGCAGGTCTCGTACGACTACTAGGTTCTTGCATTTGATTACTTCACTATACATATAATACACGACGGGCAATACAATATAATATGATAACATTGTACGCGTATTTCCCTTCAAGCGATGATAATATTATATTATTATATATTAATCAATAGTCTAAACAATGTAGACCGGTAGAATTCGTAAATGTAATTAAACTTTTTTTTACGTGTCCATAAGCCATGACGATCGTATTTCAAATATTTTGTCTAAATAACATTGATCAACGTGATTTCTTAAAAAAAATCAAATCACAACGAGAATCGTACAGCGGTTTGCACACGTTTTTAATTCGAAAGAAAAAAATGTAACTCTGTGTGCTTTAATAATAATATACCTATTGTTCTCGTTAATTACTATAATAATGCTTAAATATTTCATAGAATTTATAGTAGATATTTATAATAATTACATTTTTGCTTTTGTTTGTTTTTTTTTTTTTTTTATATGGGTAAGACGACGATTTAAAAAATAAACACACATAATATTGTTATTATGTTTTCCTCATTGATTTATTTAATATCAAGTCTTAGATTTTAAGACAATATGCATTCAAATTATTTAAAAATATTTAGATACCCATATACATAATATTATTATATAAAGTGTTGAAATAAAAAATAAATGCGTACCTTTCTAGTTTTTATGGTGTCAAGTAGTACAAGGCTTATTATTATATTTTTTAATATATACTCTATAACCTCTTTACGACTTTACCAAAACATCGTCGATACAACTGAACATGCATTATAACCTACCTACACAAACAAAATGTATTTAATATAATTGCAACATTAATTCATTAAGAAATACATATTTATTTTGTTAGAACGAGATAGGTACCAACTTCCAACACAATGTTTGTTCGTTTATAATCATAATTTTTGTGTAGGTTAGCAATTATTATGAATCCAATAACTATAATATATTTCTCTAAACTAAAAATCTTAATCTTAAATGAGTATCAGTAGGCTTAAACCGAGTAGTGAATTGTGTTCATACATCTAACAAAAATATTGCAATACCTACCTATACTCAGTATACTATGTCGTGCATTTCAAAAAATTAACATTAGATAGTTGAATAAAAAACAGCTTAAGCTACTATGGATGTGTAAAAATCAATCAACAAATGCCCAACTATTTGTATATTATACAAATGTCCATCCATTTAAGATGAAAATATAAAAGTCATAAACATAAATTGTAGTTAGGTATAATAAAATAAATTCATATTTTTTAATCTTATTTTTCATGAGTAACAAATTATATAGGTACATTTTATAATATGTAAATAAGTTTTTACAATATATACAAATAACGAAGTATAATAAATGGTTTTCATCTGGAATACGTTATTACAAACGCAATAAGTACACTTCAAGTTCCAATAGTCAGGCGTAACAAAAATGTTACATTTTAATGACGATAAGTAATTTATAGGAATTTACATCCGTTTTTTATACATAAGTAAATATTGGTTGGTAAAAATGTAAAATGTAAAATAAACACTAATTGTCTACCTACGTTAAGGTATGGTTTAGCACACCGTTGTATATTTATCATACTAAGCACATTGTTTTTAATTATTATTATTAATCATGAATATGAATTTATTTCAAAGAATAAAAACATTTTATCCCTTCTAAATAATCGCATCTAAATACAAAAACAGTATAAGTATTCAATATAAAAGCATTTTTCAAATTATAAATGTATATTTTACTGCGATGTGATTTTAGTTGTAATTAATTATTTATGAAGTTTCACTGGTATTTTTGTCCACCTTTCTTTTTTATTATCGCCCGCTCGTTTGTTCCTTGTAAAAAAGATCTAAAAAATTTGATATTAATACAAATCTTAAAATGAATTTTTAATTTTTAATGATAAAAACTTTTTGGTATATTTTTAAGTATCTACATATAGGTATGTATTCTCTGTTAGTTTTTACAATAATAACGAGTCAGTAAATACCGCATAAACTTTACTTATTTAGGGACTTAAATTAGAAGTTTCTGAATAATTTTTTATTATATTTTTGAACTATATCTATGAAAAAATAATGAGTAGATATTAATTATTCAGTTTAATAAAATAATAATAATAATAACATCCAAAAATATATATTTGTAGGTAATATTTTTCATATTTTTTTTAACTATGTGTACAATTTAGTACAATATATCTTACTGCTACTAAAGTACAACTACGGTATTTCGCTTCTATAATTTGGATTGAGCTAACGTATAATAATAATAATTTTTATTTTATCGTAATACGGTGATCACTTACCGTCTGAGAGACATCGTAACATTTTTAATACTGCACAACTAATTATTAAAAACAATGAACGTCTGACGAACACCTGAGAATCCATAAATCGGCAGATTTTATATTATATTGTTTATTATATTATGTGTGTGTACAAAGTCCTGCCGAATCGCGACAACTTGACTTATCACCTATATATTTGCGAGCGGCATGAATGATTTTCGTATGTGTGCAGAATCGTTTTATTAATATTATTATTAATGTGTGTGATAATAATATATTATATACCATATTATATAAAGTATAAACGTGTATCAGAAACTGTGCAATATAGCAGGGCCAACTGCTGCCGCGTGCACATAACACTTTTAAACTCCTAAATTGTATAGGTACCATAATAATATATATTATTATTTTTTCCGTAAGCCGCTTTATACCAGCGATAGTACTGCAACATAACCTTGCCATACGTGTACATTTGTACGATATTTTAGACACTTGTGATCGCAGCGGAACGTTCCGACGATTTGAGGGGCCTTTAAAGAAAATGTTTTTAGATCATTATAATATTACTCGCACGCCTTTATCCGTACAATATAGACGAAGCGTAAAAACCAAATCCAATACCTATACAGTTCAGTATTGCGCCAATTCAGTATTTCCTAGGGCAGAGAAAAGTATTGACCTGCCAAATAATTATAAGATGAGTTTATCTATCCACAGTAAATAGTCACTCGACATGCTCAGTTGCAGCTCGCGTGGTCGACCAATTTGTTCATGGCGCACACGGTAGTCACATTAGAATCTACGACCGTCTTGCCTTTGCCTAGCGACCACATGGGTTGGTATACTCTATGGACGAATTATAATTATAATTATTATTGTATATTATAAAAAAAATATTATATAAGTCAAATTAACATAAAAATGCCTTTATTATACGCTGAATACAAACAAACCTACACAACACTTTTCGTGTCCGTTAAAAAAATACCTTTTATACATTTCCATTTGTTATGATATAAAAATCTATTGTTTACGATTTACCGAAAAAAAAATTATAGTCTACTTAACAAATGCGTTACCAACATAAATAGTATAGTAATTATTAGTAGTATACTCCTCGAACCCGCTGGACCACTGTCTGGGGAATACGTCAAATAGTTTACTCCGACGACCAACCAAGTATTATGTACAGTTCGTCTTAAACTTCCTTTTAACGTACACACACGTATTATATCAACAGCTTAATCGCCGGGTAAACGTCGTATTGTATGCGGTCATTTGAACCATTAAAAACGCACAATTTAACCGGATGCCTCTTGTTCCTCCTCCATTCGAGACTTTTGCGTTATCCTATTTTCACCGCGTGACGTCATAAATTATTTTGGTAAAGTATACAAGTGCGTACAGCTAAGGCACGGTGCGAAACAGATCTAGGAAGAATCTAGGATCTTGGAAGGAAATAAGAGTGGGGCGAGATACAAAGCATGAGCGATACGCCCAAGTCTTGCATAGCTGATAAAACCCTATGAAATATTGTTACTGGCAGTGCAGATATACTAATAGAGTAATGCCTGCCTATTACTTATTAGCCGCTGGGTACACGGTTTTTATAAATTAACTACAACAAACCAGAATGCTACGTTTGAGATGGTATCTAAAAAGGGATGTCGGGCTTTAGCCCTCATCACCTTCCCCTCCTAAAAACTGTACTCGACAGTGATTCTGACGTAGGTACATAAGGTGAGGAAGTCGGCTAATTTTTTTCCCCATCGCGACGTCTCCGCACCGAAAACAAATTATAATAATATGCCTAGTACTTACCTAATACTAACTATAATAAATAATGACACGACAGCTAGTTATAGGTGTTCAACAAGTATGCAACGCGGATATTATAATATACATAATATACGCTGTTATACGAGTATAATCAAAACGACGACTGTGAACGTGTTTGAGGTGACTATATTGTCGTTTATTTATCAGGCACATATTATTGTTGTATTGAATTCCACGTAGCGGCCAATTAAATGATTGATGTCAATTGGCGGTGGCCGTTGATCCCCACGGGCGGACACCCCTCCACACCCCTCGCACCGATAAATAGACTCACCCGTTCGGCGCGCATGCCGCGTGGGGTCATCGTTATTTATCGCCGGTGTCACGCGCTGTACAACTTGAACTTCCTCACGTACTTGCTCACCGTGCCCTTGGCGCAGGGTTTGAGCGCCACGCACGTGGCCACGTCCTCGGGCTGTTCCTTCCACACGACGTGCTGCACGCCGTCTGCTCCGAGCGCCGCGGCCGTGCTCAACAGGGCGGGCTCGTCGGGTACCTGCAGCAATAACGGGCGACGGGCCATTATAATATAATATAATAATTAATATTAAATAATACGACTGCGCTATACTATAGTCGGGCCCACGAGAGAAGGAACTCGTTTCGCGTTGTAACTTGTATTTATTTATTTATTTATTTATTTATTTATATATATACGCCGATCGGCAATTTTATGATTACATTTAAAATTAATATATAAATATGTAATAATAATGTTTATTATTGACTGACGGCGTAGAACGACCTGGGACACTTCCCCCCCCCCCTCTCAAACATTCCGGGCAGCAGCGTTGTATAGCACTACGACTACGTTTGAGTGGGTGAAATAGTGTCCCAGGGGCCAGGACGTTCAACGCCGTCAGTCACATGGCGGCGAAACGAGTACCTTCTCTCGAAGGCCGGAGTATAGTTTAATGTACGCATAATAAATCTACATTAAAGCAATATTTTATAGCATTATATTTAAGACATAATATATAAGTTATATGTAAGGCTCGAACTTTGATGCGTTGGTGTGTTTTTTTTCTTCTATTTTTTTTTTTTTTTTTGATAAGTAACTAGATTTAATATTGCTAGGCAAGCTATAAATATATTTTACGACTTAACCAACAAAACATCAAAAGTTTTTAGTGCGTAATTAAATTTTTCAGAGTACTGTAATTTTTCTATAGTGCGTATTCGATGATTTTAGAACATAATGTTTGGTTACGTACAGATTAAAAACGTTGACAGTTGTTAAGACTGTTGATAAGATATTTTAACTTTTGGCCATATTTATTTTATTTATTATTGAGAATCGATTGTAGACATGGAAAATAAAGGGAAAATTGAATACACATATTTTAGCTTTTTAAGTGCATAAGTGCAATTGTATGAATATTATTTAATACATTTGTAAAGCATTTAAGTTTGAGTTCTATTTTTAAGTACTTATAATAATAATTATTATTGTTGTTGTTCTTACCTATGACCGAGGTTGAGCGTTAATATTATGTACAACTCACCCACGGTTTGTACGACACTAAGGCACCGTTCGACATTGGTGTTTTCTTGAGTCGTAATTGTGTGACCAAAAAATAATGATAATAATCAATGGGTATAACCATAGCCGGGTGCCCACCGTCAAGGTTAGTATCCATATAGTAGGTACTTACACATAAAGTTTATTGAGTTGGAAACTACTTGTTAGAATTCTGATTTAGATTGGTATATCAACATTTTCAACAAAAAAATGATCCACATGACCACATATATAATTTTGTATCGGAACATTAAAATCCTTAAATCGTACAATAAATCTCAATTATTCGTCTTGTGGTCTTTATGTATATTTAAAAATTCCAAAAATCAGATTTTAAATAACTTCATTATTAAATAAAATAGAGGGTGGAAACTGGAAATACTTGATGAATCGTCAGCTTGTGTATGACCCATGTAATGACTATGTGTTCTACGCATTTCATGGTAAACCAAGTAGTGTACCTACGTGTATTATTTGAACAGAACATTCAGAAAAACAGTGGCATAAAGGTAATATTTTTTTGTTCGTATTTTACGAATACCTACGTTACTACATACATTGTACAGTATACACTCCCATAACTTAAATAATAATATACCCAGACAACCCAAATGTGATTTTCGTACCATGAAAAATATCATAATTGAAACCATGGTTGCACGGCTCTGAAATACGCTTATAGGAACTACAGCACAAACGACGACATCAATACAGAAGTGATCGTAAGACCTAGGGTATAATTCCCCCGGAGGCGGAAGAACAAAGGGAAATGTAATTTAGGATTACGCATAAGAAACATAAGGGAATCCGTGTTTGGCCTACGGCTGAAAAAACAATATGATGATATCTGAGAAGTAAGCCGAAGAACAAGGAAACAAAATTATCCTACACCAAGAACATCGGGGATAAAAGTGAATCCGTTTTCATCGCTATTGGCTATTATACCTAACTACACAACAAAAGGATATTATATGATAATAAAATATCTAAAGATGCGGTTTTAGTAGAAAAATTGTTTAGTACGTACCCATAACTTAAAATTGAAAAAATATATTATTTATTCTATTTAATAAATAACCGATATGAATTGTAATAATATTGAGTCATAGCAAATATATATTTCGAGTTCAGAAACTATGACCAACTGTAACGAACATTAACATATTTTGCCAAGAGGTTTTAATAGGTAAGTAGAATATTATGTACAGCCCAAAAGAAACATATACGTCCCATCTTGAAAATGTATTACAGCAAAAATCAATTAGGTTCCATCTCTAATTGCGTAACTTTACGCAAAATAAAAGTTGTAGGTATGTCTATTATAATATTAAAATTAAATAATATACCTAGGTACAAGTAAAAAATTACACAAATAGTAAACGCTTAAGCAATCAATTTTAAATATCTCACATTAAAGCAATATCGAAGCATACCAAGTCAATTTTATAGACAGAACTTCAGATAAAATATGATACTATGACGATGATTGACGTTAATTACGTGTGTTATCGATCTCTACGTTGTATCGTTATTATTAGTCAAAAGTCATAACTCATAAGAAATCAATGCGAATCGTGGTCAATTTACAATATACCTATAAACCTAAGTATACACAATTAAACCTATACAATAAATTAGACAACATTTCTATGAAAAAAAATACCCGTGTAATTTGTCACAATTACAATTATATTAATATGTTGGAGATCGCGGGGATGAAAGTGATGAAACATATTGTAGACATTATTTGAAATTTTAAACAACCACAGAACACCAAAAAACGATCCGAGCCGATCTGCCAAAAAATGGATTTCGGTATACCTATATGTTTGCATTTTTCTTTGTCACTCGTAGTTGCGATATGTCTAAAAAAAAACTACTGAAAAACGTATCTCTAAAAAATACAACGCGTGTCCGACCACCGTTGAATGCTATATTATTATTATTATACGATTAGATAACAATCTCCGGCTATTTCGGGAGACTAAAAAAGAACACGAGTAATAATAATATCACACCATAGGCAGGCTCAGTAACACACGAAAGCATATTATAATAATAATATAATACACTAGTCACTAATACAGTAATAACGCACGTGACTGCTGTGCCGTATTTCCCAGCGTATCGTCAGTTCAATTAAAACCGTTAAGTGACGGGGCGTCGATATATGTTTCATATTATAAGGAGCCGATGGACGCATATCGATATGGACGACAAATATTGGTCGTCGTTTAAACGGAAATCCAAAACACACATATCACCACTGTAAATGGTATCGTACAACAGTAAAAACACGTCACATTGTAAAGGCCGATAAATCTCGATCTACATAATATCACATTATAATATTATATTATTATAATGTGCCGTACACATACATAACTCGACGAGAGCAGACAAAAACAATTATTGCGTCGCGACAGTTGAATAACGATAAATCACTCACATAACACTGGTGTCAACCTTCCATAAAAATAAACCTAACCAAATCTTCAGAGACACATAATACTATCAACCTAAAAACAAAGGAAGCGTGGCAGAACAATTGTAATGGAGTACCACTTACAAACAAATTAAGAATTATGAAACCTTCCATTAAAAAATGGGATTTTAATAAAAATAAGAGATGAAGTACTAATCACCCCAGTTAGAATAGAACTCACACTAAGATTCCTCATCACTAAAAAACCGGCCGCAACACGCGACACATGCAATGGATCAATGGCGTTGTGGCCAAATGCTCAAAATATACCTATAATAGCCCAATTTCCGCCCAACATGCACTTAACGTCGACAACGCGGAAGCAATACATTTATTTTTTCATAAAATAAACTTAGGTCAAAATGTGTAAATAATGTTATTTTGTTTTACTAATAACCAGTATCTAATCTAAAAGTATAGGCTAATACCTAACTATCGTTATTCGTTGTTGAAAACTTAGCAGATGACATTATTTTTTTTAAATACTGGTTTGTTAACATTTATATATTTATAAAAAAAATAATTGAGATGTACTCACCTCCAAGATAACTTTGTGCATGTTCTCGAGGTCCTTTAGATACGCCTGTGTGTCTGGATCCGAGTAATAAGTGTGCACCACTGCGACGCAAGCATGACACGCTTGGGCCATGACGGCGCCGGACGGCCATTTCAGGGTCCTGGTCAGGTCACCTCGCACCAACACGTATTGCACCACGTTACTCATCGTCGAGGACCTTAAATCAAAAAAAAATATAATATCCAAATCGTCGATCAAACAAATCAGTAGGGACACTGCAGATATGGGTTGTATATACGCCTGCACGAGGCACGATAGTACGATGTTTTCGGGAATATTCTCGTCCGACGATTTAAAAACACAAACACACGATGATGATGATAGAAATGTATGGGGCAAGGGGAGGCTAAGGATTTATCTCTCGAATACTCCCCCTCCCTCCTGAGTCCTCACGATAACGACCCCGATGTAGAGTCACAGAGGGTGGCGCAAATGTTTAATATAGTCATTATATATAGGTAACAATAACAATAACAATTTACAATAGGTATACTACAATAATTGTTAATTCATAAACATACACTCATATTGGCGAGGGAATCAGCTTTATATATTATTATCTATTAAAAATAAATACAATTTAATGTGTTTTAAACGATCAAACGAAAACAATTAATAATCGTTGTAGGTACATATAATATAATTATAATAGGTAAGTACATAATAATATACGTTCGATGCATATATAACGGACATTTTATCGTTAAAATAATATATTACAATAATATTATGTCTTATGATTAGATCGTATACGATCTAACGTTGTATGCGACGGGCGTGCTCGTCAATCGAATGAGTTTCGGCGTCTGTACACGGCCACGGCCCGCAGGCGTATGTCTTCGAAGCACAGGCCTATGTCCATTTTCAGGTTCCTCACCCTGACCTGGACGTCCTCGCGCATCAGATCGAAGCACATGGCTATGATTCCCATGCCCAGCAGCAGGTAAACGAACTTGATGACCAGCTTCATCGGGTGGTCGGCCACTGCGTCCGTGATGCTGCCCACCGGCACGAAGTTCTCGATGCCGATCTTGCACAGGCTGGTGACGCAGAAAAACGTGCTGTCCAGGTACGACCAGTCTTCGAGCGTGACGAACGTCACCGTGCCGGTGGCCACGTACGCCGCCAGCACCCACAGGCAAGCCGTGGACGGCACGATCACCCTCGACTTCTGGGGCAGCTGCTGGTTGTACAGGTCACCGCCGCCGGCCTTGTCCTCCATGCTGCACTGGTACACCCACGTGTATAACCACCGGAAGCTCTGGGCCAACACCTGTTGCGAAGATCGGCGATATAAATGGCAAAAAAATAAAAAAGTTTGCATTATAACACCGCGTCTACACATAGAATAATATAATGTCATAATGTACCTACAGAGGGATCCGATTGACAGCACAATTTCAACATTTTAATTTTTTTTCAATTTAACTCATTTTAAATGTATATCGTACAGAAAAACATTGAACTATGTTTTAATTGCCATGTTAATCGGAAAAAAATTTAGATATTTTCTACCGACTACAAATCCGTACATTAATCGTCGTGATTCATTCAAGATGACGCGGAAAGACTATTCGATAAAAATAAGTATATAATAAGATTGTTGTTTGCCGTTTTGCATGAAATTACCAATCAGCGTTTTGAAAACTCGTAGTTAATGATAGCGCATGCTTTGACTGACGAGGACTTTCGTCGAATACGATAAAAGCGTCAACAATAATTTACAATGTTTGAAAATCTTACCGCTATAATAATAATAATAATAATAATATACACGTTATTTCTGAGCATGTTTTATGCGCATATAAAACTATGAAAATTAGCTGTGTTGGCAATGATGTTCGTTTGCGGATCGTGGCGAACGACTGCAGAACATATACATATACGAATGTTGTCCGTTAATCGTGACGACCGCTAGTTATCTTATAGTAGATCTTCTCGATCTTTGACGTAAGCAGCGAAAAAAAGTATGTCTGTCACGTGTGATCAAATAAAACTGAAAACACGCAGGACATCTATTATACTGAGTGCGATTTTGAGAAATCCGTATACATACGCCAGTTGAATTAATTAATCGCTTAAAAGAGGTAGGTAAGTACTTATAAGAAACAAACCGACGATAATGGCCGTCGTGACCACTGTGGGTGCATTAGGTGTAATAGTCCATTATTGGTGTTTGTTTTTAGGGTACTTAGTTCTACTTTTTATCGTCAAAAGAACTCATTTCACACATTAAAAAGAATAATAATATTAAAAGAAAAGAAACCACTGCTTTGTGAACGCATGCTGACACATTAAACAAGACAGTCGCGTTAGCCAAATTTCGATAGACAACATTAACAATTTAGTGTGTGTTAAAATCGGCCGAACCCTTCAAGTGTGGGCTCATAAACACATTGAGAGAAAAAAAAACAGTGATGGATTTGTGTGTTCTTTTTTTGACAGGTTATAACTTTTCCGTGCAGGAATTTTGAGGAAAGGGTTTTTAATCACCAAACATAAAACTTAGAGTATTTTTGAAAAACTTTTATAATAAAACGATTATTGAGTCGGTAAAAATTTTCCAAAACGAATATCAAAAAGCTAACGAATAATAATAAACGCAGAAACACTATCGTTGAGAAGTCAAACAAACAACTCTGTAATTATGTATATTTTATTTCTAAACAACAAATGCGCATATAACGAGATAATTGTTGATTTTATCCCGAATTTTTGTACCTCCGTTTCAATTCGAACTCAATGCGATTTTCAACAACCAATATACCCACGGATAAGTGCGCAATATATCAGCATAGTTTTAAAACCATAATATATATTGCTGGAGATTTTTTTAGTTCAAGTAGTTTAGGCACGTAGTAAAAAAAAAACACTGTAAAAGAATCACTGCAAATATTTCAAACTGTAAAACCACCCCAAACGATGCTCTTATCATATTTTAGCGTAGGAGCAATTTTTTTTCAATAAGACGCGCTCTGTTCCTTTCTCTATTGTCCTCTCTCTTCACGTACATTCAACAGCATTACTTACACGCTTGTGGTACACCGTGGTCATTTTTTTCCAGAGACTTTACTACACACGCTTTGAGTACGTAAAAACGTAGAAAGCCGATTTTTATTTCTTGAAAACGATGGGAAAACCAAAATCAAAAGGCGGAGAGCCAACCCAATTCTCCGACGACCGTTGTACACTATAGTACACAGATATTTCATGGGGTGAAAATCATCGCATAAAAATGTCATTAAATGACTGTGTTTACGTATTCATTTAATATTTTGAGAAAAACATTTTCAAATCGAATGCATCTTTGCAAAGTAGGTACCTACTAGCTTTTCCTACTACCACCTACCGCGCCTACCATTATACATAGATATAATATTATAATATTTTTAATATGCTCGATAACATCAGGCCTGGTAAAAATGGTTCCCAAAACGGCAAAACAGTAAGTTATAATGAGGGGGTGAAGCGATGGAAGAACTACCACCAGCTATATAGGTCTTATGGAAATAATAATAATAATAATAATATAGAAACGACGACGCACCTTTCCCATGTTTCGGAAGTAGAGCACGTACAGGGGTATGCCGAACACGGCGTACACGACGGTGGCGGCCTTGCCCAGCATGGTCTTGGGCACTACGTTGCCGTAACCGTTCATGGTGAATATGGACAGGGAGAACATGAGCGCGGCGGAGAACGACCACGTCTCCTCGGTGGTCCGGCCGTCGTAGCCCTTCTTGACGATGAGCGCCAGGTTGACCTGGAAGTGCGTGAGCGCGTCCGTCACCTGCCGCGTCCAGTTATCCCGGTACAGCACGTTGTACGTGTTGGTGGCGTTCCACACGTTCACCGAACAGTTGTGCCGGAGCTGCTGGACGGCGTGGTGCTGCGCGTCGCCCGCCTGGCCCTCGATCTGTATGAAGCAGAACGCGCCCACCACCGCGTAGCCGACCACCAGGCCGCCGACGCCCACCTGCGTGCACATGAACGCCACCAGCTTCCGGCAGCACTCCTTCAGCCGCTCCTTGGGGTTGTCGGCGCCGGCCGCGTTGTACGCCGCCGACGATGACCCAGTGCTGCTCTTGTCGCCCACCGGCACCATTGCGCGCCGCCGACTGACCGCCGTGCGCCGACCGCCGCCACTATACTTCCACGCCGACCGCCGCCGCCACTATATTTCCACACCACCACCGCGGCCGCCGCTCGGTCGGTCGTGTGCCAAGGACCGATGTGTGTGTGTATAATGGTACAGAAATAGAAAGCGGCGCGTGCCGCCGCCGGAGCGGCTAAAAATGCGCGCAGTCGCCGTATACACGATAATAATAATATCCACGGCGAACGTCGTTTCCCGAACCAAAGCGTTTCGTTACATAATAATAATCAGGGCTGTAAATCCCATGGGCCACACAACCGCATAAATTATAATAAGCGTGCGATTATGCACTAGGTACTGGAAAAATATGAAAACATGCACTAAAAATGCAAAACCACATTGAATATTCTAATACAATGCAATAACATGATTAAATTAATTCACGATTATGTTCTAACTTCTATAAGTGTGTACAGTCGTGTATGTACCGATCAATAAATAATATCCGTAAAACATTAAATATGCACATAGGGATCATTAAAAAAAATTTATTTAAAAATGGAATGCCTTGAATCAAATTAGTAAGTGACATATTTTGAATTCAGAAGGAAATTCATCGATATGAAAAATAATTAAATCTCAGCCCCAACAATAACAATAAAAATAATACACCTATGTGCAAATGAGAAATATTTATTTTTTATTTTTACAAGCAATATAGTGCAGTATAGGCTAAAAGTAACACATATGGCAGGTAACATTACTTTCATGAAAGAAGCCACATTTTTATAAACAGGGAATATGAAACAGAAAATACGACGAGATTGTTGTTATAGGTAATAGATGGATGAGTAATAATATTAAAAATTATAATATATTATAATAAATCCAGAAAATTGAAATCATTTTACAGATTTTGTATATAGGTAGTAGGTACTTATATAAAACCGCACCTATACTACTTGTGCTATGGTTATGAGTTATGACATACATCTGCCGTAGAAGAACCAAAAATAATTTAATTGAATATACTTTGACGTAAAGTCTTAATGAAAAGTGACTAGGTAGGAATAAAATATGCTACATACGCAACGAATAAGGCAGTAACTCAATTTTCCAAATTTTTTTTTTCTTTAGGGTATCACTGTTTTTCTGGAAGTTCAACGAGGACGGCAGTAACTCTATTTTATTGTGTAGAACGTATGCAATAAAATAGAGTTACTGCCGTCCTCGTTGAACTTCCAGAAAAACAGTGATACCCTATAGAAAATAAAAAAAAAATTTGGAAAATTGAGTTACTACCTTATTCGTTGCGTATGTCAAATGTCGATATAATATCACAAAGTACCTCCACTGAAAGGTCTCTTCACTCTGTTTCCTGTGTACTAAAAAAAAAAATTTCAAATAAAGCTTATTGTTCAACTTTTGCAACAGATTACCTAATAAAAAAATTATGTTAAAAATATATATATATATATATATATATAATATGTTATAGGACAACTAACTAAGACATTTGGACATTTGACCCATAGGAAGGTCCCACGCACATTTTAGGAAAAATTAAAACGCAAAAATATGTTTCTATAATTTATAGGCAGGTACCTACACGATAACAAATTATAAGGAAGTGATAAAACTTATAAGTTATAACTAAATCATATTTAAATATTTGATTACTAATAGACGAAATATGTACCAAACTGACAATATAACCCATGTTTAGTTGTAGCTTAAGTATACCTATTCGATTTCGACATGCTACATGAGTAATTTTTACTGATCATAAATATTTATTATAAACAGTACAAAATTATTAGCGGTTATCATAAATCATTATTAATATCTGTTCATATAAAACTAAATATAACAATATTGAATAATTAACTAATATACCAATGACCTACCTTAAAGTGTCGAATTGATTAACGGTAAAAACCCATCCCCAGGGGAGTACCCGGGGATTTTTAAAAGGGGGGTCCACATTTTTTAACATGTAAAAAGTATACAATTAGTGAATTTCACCTTAAAAATTTTAAATTCTGTCAATCGATGAGGGGGTCCAGCCCCCCTTGGGTACGCACCTGCCCATTCATATATTGTGGCGACTCACTGCGCACGACTTTTTCGATTACGAAAATTATTTTTGATGAACATAATACAGTATGTATAGTGTATACCAATATACCCATTTTATAATATTTTGCATATTATTAACCTTGCTAACCTACATATTATTATAGATAATAAAGTCCGGGCGACTACCGATGACGTATGCAATAACATAAGTAAGCATGATAAATAGGTATACACCTATACATTAATATATTATATATTGGAGGTACCTACCTTTTGTATTATTAAAATAATATAATGACCGGTATACGGATTCACAAGATACGTATTATTAAAAATAAAATGGAATGGTTTAGATGTTTTACCTATCCTGAAATGATGAAAACTTCTGTAAAAATATTTTTAATAATTTTGATACATATAATAAATCTAAATTTAAACGATTAGTTTATGAGTTATCAAACTTAGCCTAGGTAACTGCAGTACCTAGGTAATCCGTGCTATTGTGCTAAGAATGCTTCAGACAAAGTTTAAAATATAATAGGTATGTAATATTTAGTCTGGTACTCTGGTGTGAATTACCTATACTCGGATAGATTTTACAAACTATAAAATTGTATAATAAGTTAAAAATTATTAATATTAATTACTACCTACCTATATAATTTTAAAATCATCATAGTCCCCATATTATCTTTTGAACCAATTTCATGGAATACTATCTGTATTTGTAGAAACTACAATTATTACAATAGGTAAGTTAAATGATTACCTACTCAAAAACTACTTGTTCGAATACCTATATACATCAACATTAATTAAAAAAAGTCATCTTCTTAACAATTTAGGAATAAAAAAGAGCTAGTTCCCATCCTCATGAGAATAAAAGAAGTTTGACGACCACTTGAAACTTCTTAAATTGCATACAAAAATCTAAGTACATGAAAATATGGTTAAATATGGTTAAGTATACCCACTTGAAAATTCAAATATGCCAATTTGAATAAATGCACCATTAAAACTTAAAAGAAAAGGGCATGGTTGGTTCATTACTTACCCTGTATATGACCAATAATTCACAACATTTAGGTACCAATGTGATAAACAAATGTTCACAATAATGTAGGTATAAATACACTATACATAAACATAAGCACATAAAATCAATATATTATCGATATTGTATAAAATTAATCACGAGTTCAAAAATGTGATAAACGAAAATATTAATTTAAAATTATAAATACGATATGTATATTATGCGTTAATACTTATGTGTAGAGGTAAATCCGTAGACCATTACGAGTAGATACCTAAACATATTACGTAAAAATATTTATTATTAATATACCTAGTTTGCTAACAGCTGATATCGTGAGTAGGTAATTAGTATTACATTTTTGGAGGTTAATATATGTGGTTATGTCGAACGACTTGAACGCTTATGAAAAATTATATATAGGCTATATATCTATTATAGCTGAATTCAGTAGTTAAATCACTCCATTATAATAATATACTATAACATACACGATCAACGATGATTGGTACTTACTACTTGGTATAGTTGGTACACACGCTCTTCTAGTATTTTTCGACGTTGTTCTATTACGCTGTTTATGGGCAAAATTCCAAAATATAGATACAACTTATTTTTTTTATTAAAAAACCATGCCACCCTTCACCTCACTTCCCAAACCAGGGGATTAAATACTATCTAGCGAGTCGATACCCTAAAGGCTAAAATAAAACCGTATGCGGATTATAAATTAATCATCGCAGCCGTGAGCGCATTCGATGTGTATATATAGTATAGTGGCAGTGTTAGGTCGTCTGAGAAAAATGTGGAGCGTTTCCCCGACTGGATAAAAGCAACTTAACCGAGTAGGTATTATAATGACAAGCCGAGAGGGAAAAAAATGTTGGGTCGCATCCAATGCCATTGGATATACCGAACGATTTTAACTTTCCGGTAAAAATTTGAACGCAAACCTTTCTGCCTAACAATATAATATTTAATTCTTACATCTAAACAATATGTAATACCTAATGAATTTATGAATACCAATCTTTGACCATTCTAGGATCTATAATATTATTATAAACAATGTGGTAGTTTATACACAATGATTTTTATCACTGCCAGGCCCGAAACTTTAATTTTTTTTTAAAGGGCCATACTTGCTCAAAATCTGATTCAATGCATTAATGTAGGTATAGTAGGTACCTATTATCATCATCATTCATCACGTATATTTTAAAATTAAATATTACCTAATAAACGGAATAAGTTCCTAATAGGTATAGAGATAAATTATACCTACATGTTGCATGAACCTTTTTGACCTAAAAGATACACCAAAAATGGTTTTGCAAAAAACATACATAATTGTAAGATCAAATTTAGCTCCCTTGCTCAACTCAAAATCTAAGGTCATATTAGTGATATTCCTCAGTAAATATACAATAATTATGTATGTTCTATTTCTATTGATTCATATATAACCAGTGCCATAGGTTAACCCAATCTACGTGAGAGATAATGTGATTAATAATATAGATTGTGACATTTAAAAATCTAAAGTTAATAGAGGTTTCATTAGCAACCACAATTATAGTATTAAAGAATAATAGCAAAGCAAAACTATTCAATTGCAATAATTACATATATATTACATACACTACACACATAAAGGTATTATTATATCATATAGGTATCTAACTAACCAGTCGCGGATCAGAGGCTTAATTTTGGGAGGGGCATGGTGGGGCAAAAGTACAAAAAGTTCCAAAATTGGCTAAATATAGTGTAAAAAAAAGGAAAACTACGGAGATTAGGGAGGAGAAAATGCCTTTTTTTTGCTCAAAAGAGCCCCTTTGCCCTCTCCCTGACTAATACAGTAATATAGGTACCTATGCATATTAAAGTTAACAAAAAAAATATAGTAATTTTAGAGGAAAAAAAACATGCTCTGCGGTACTTACATACGTGTGTACAATGAGCAAGAGCATTCTAACCCGTGTAAGTAATCGTTTATATATGAAAACTGTAAAAAACTTGAATTATTTATACATACCCCCCCCCCCTTTCATAATTATGACTACGCCACTGCATGTATGGTATTATTTTCACGTGGCTTATATAGTTATTTATGTGCTTCAAGTGGTCGGGACATGGGACCATCTATAGTATATTATGATCTAAGATTTTAACTAAGTTATATCTGATAATATTAAAATCAAAAAACAATTTTTTTAAATGTGAAATATTCATGGAATACCTACAGAATATTTCAAAATTCAAAATATAACTTATCACTAAAAAGTAAATGCACACATTCCAAAACTAATCTGTTATAATAATTATCATATTACCCCTAGTAAAAAAGGAGTTTCAAGAAATCAAAACTTTAGAGTTAATAACTTTTTCAATAATTTGCTTGCATATTTTTAATATACACCATGTATAAATTGTAAATGTAAAATACTTAACAAAGTTTATCAAAACATTAATTTAATAATAACTGCATACTTCTAAAAATAAAAATAAATACACTTGAGAATATTTTCCAATAAAATTATATTTTATTTAACAGTAACCTAAGACAAAAAATGATGCTGTAGGAAGTATTCTTAAATACATGTATATAAAATGAAAAGTGAATTAAAATACATTTAATAAAACAAAGGATTACAAAATATAATATCAATGATTATGAAGTGGATGTAACATTTTATAAAGTTATTTTACCTTTGTTTATTCAATTAAGTACTAGTAACTTTATGCATTGCACTAGCTAAGTAACCAACATTTTTAGAAGTAACACCGGCCATAGATATGCGACCATCATTTGTCAAATACACACTATGCTGATCAATTAACTTTTTAACCTGATCTTTACTAAGTCCAGTATAACAGAACATTCCAATTTGATCTGTTATATGTTCCCAATTCTTTGTAGAGCCTTCCTTATCCAAAAGGTCTTTTAATTGATATCTGACTGATATTATTCTATCTGCCATGCCCTTCACTTCAACCAACCACTGGTCCATTAATTGAGGATTGGATAAAATTTCAGACACAATCCTAGCTCCATGTATCGGAGGGTTTGAATACATACCCCGTACAATTATCTTCAATTGGGATACTATGCGGTCTGCTTCATCTTTATCCAAAGTGGTTAATGAAAACAATCCTACACGTTCTCCATACAAACCCATGTTTTTGGAAAATGACTGAGCCAAAGCAATCTGATGACCATCAGATAAAAATGAACGAACAGCACAAGCATCCTGATCAACATTTCCTGAGGCAAACCCTTGGTAAGCCATATCAAAAAATGGAAATAAGCCTTTACTTTTGAACAATGCGGATAATTCTTTCCATTGTTCTGGTTTTGGGTCAACACCAGTTGGATTATGAGCACACGCGTGTAACAAAACTACTGAGCCAGATGGAGCAGAAGATAAGTCCTCGACCATTCCAGCAAAATCAAGTCCACATGTTTTTGGATCATAATACCTGTACGTTTTAACTTCCAATCCAGAAAATTTAAATATCTGATTATGGTTACCCCAAGTAGGAATAGGTACCCAAATAGTTTTCAATGGAGCATATCTTGTAAGAAATTCAGCACCAACTCTTAAAGCACCCGTTCCCGATATAGATTGAACTGAAGCATAGTATTTGTTCTTAATAATAGGGGATTCACTGGATAATGCTAATTGTATAGCTTCATTGCAGAAATCAGCAATGCCACTTATTGGAGCATATTCTTTATCCAAATTTTTTTTTGCCAACAGATTTTCAGCTTGAATTACACTAGGTAATACATATGGTTTACCATTATCATCCCTGTAGGCACCAGCCCCTAAGTTAATTTTTTGTGGATTTTTATCACGTTTGAAGGCTTCTGTTACACCAAGTATAGCATCTGGAGGTCCTTGCTGAACGTTGCCCCACAATGTTGACATCATACGTAAGTTTTTCTGTTGCTTGCAAACAAATGAAGACAGTTGATGACACTTTGACATTGACATGATTCTAGATTTTTTAAGAATGTTCAGATGTTAAGTAACTTTAGGATCACGTAAAGAACCTATAAAATGCACAAAACACAAAAAAATCAAATCACTGAACGATAATATGGTAAACAGCTTAACATAAAGGATGGAACATTTTGTTTAGTTTTATTGTATAGGACATAGGTAATATTTAATAAATTGATTTTCAATTAAGTTATGAATAATTAAAAACATCAAAAAGGTCAAATAATTTTTAATAGTCATAACTAGGGTTGATGGTATTGAAGTATTGAATTCAAACATCCCAATTGTGGTATTAGAATCTTTATACTACCTATCAGAAATAGAAAAATTTAAACTAATTTAATATCAATACTTCTTAAAAGTAATTTAATGAAAATGTTTTAATGGGTCAGTGGTTTCAAATTTGATAAACTATAATACCTAACTGAATGGTGAAGTATTTTAAACAATATAGTACATCTAAAAGAAGTTTGTAACCAAACTAGTTAGGTAATTAAAATACAATTATTACTCTACTGACTAGTGATAGATTTAGATATTAATTTTAGTTCTAAGTAGCCACTTGATAAAATTATAGATTAAATATAATTAATGAAATATATATGTAACAATCATGAACATATACAAGTACAACATACAACATTAAAAATAATTATAAAAATTTAAAACCAATGATTATAACTCAATTAGTATTTATAATCGAAGTTGAAACCAAGCAAATACAAATTAATTAATTATATTCCATTTAACTATTATGCAAGTCATAATTTCTATATAAATGATTTCTGCAAAAGAGTGGTAGCTAATAATGGTTGTCAAAACATCAGAATTTTTGAAATAGTTAAATATTTAAACAAGTACAATCGAATAATTAATTAAGTGTAACAGTACTTAATGTCAATACATGGATTCTTTAAGATTGTGAAGGACACTCGATAGACATCAGTATTTAGAGAAATTGTAGTCTTAGGTCAATACCATTGATATTAAATATATTGATACAAGGATACGGCATTCCTATCTTCACCAAATGCAAATATAGACTTTAAAACCAACATACCGGAGAGTGATAAGGAAACTAACATTTAAACGAGAAAAGTTATTTAACAATGTTACAGACTACGGTGAACAATACTAACAGTGTTCGGTTGCGTTGGCTTACACACTTGAATACAATACAATATACAGCTATAGGTTAAATATGGATGATGAGCCCCGTATCGTTTATAATTTGAGGTCATGGTGTTATTTTCAGGTCAGTGGTGTAACAAATCACGTCGACGTATTTAATAGTTTTATATTCAATAATTATTAGTGTTATTAGCTACATACGTTTTACATTTCTAATGCAAAACACATTAGATTTGTTAAAAGTACGGATTGAACTTACGTGTATAGCTTTGGAACGAGCGAAGTTAGATAGGCGTCTGTGGATTGAGAATAGAAGCCGGACCTTGGCCGCACAGTGTCAGTGTGCACGGTCTCGGTCTGCTAGGAGTTGAATGTAAATGGCCGAAACGGAGATCTTCCTGTTCGATTTAAAAGGTATTTAAATGCCAACAATGTTTGTATAATATTTATTATTAATTATTATCAGCGAAAAATTAGTATTGTTATTTTACGCCCGACAACAACTCACTGATAGTAAGCTTTTTGGACATAACCTAACAAACTTACTGCTTAGTGCTTACAGTGCTTACCAATCACCGCGCGCAGTGTGGCCTATATAACGGGGCTGGGTACAGTTATCCCAATCGTGATAAGGAATATGTTTTGTTACCAACGTCAAATATTAAAAAAAATTCCGAATGGGAATTTAATTGGGCTCATGGTGAGATACTGTACGAAACGTAGTCCGTCCTATAAATATTATATCCATTGTAAGTTTATAAATAGCTAATAGGTAGGTAGGTACTTTTAAATTATAATATGAATAATATTTATAATAACATTACAATATTATATTAATATCATTATTCATTATCACGGTATGGGAAGGGGTCGGTAATGGGGGTAAATCAATAAGACCAAAAATAACCAAAATAATGACCAAAATAACCAAATATATTTTCAATGTGGCGATAACGAGTTATTTGAGTTGTTTTAAATTTAAACTTTTTGAACACTTGAACTTTTAACCTGCAGTATACACAATTTACATTTGACATTCACAATGTAATGTTTGTGACTGAATAATTGGTTAGTGTAGTGACTACACAGTACACAGCGACTCTATGGAAACTTTTCATAATGCACGGTCGATATAAACCAGGTAATTTATTTATAATATAATAATATGTTAACAATATTACAATAAATAAAGACTTAGGGCCGTTCTTACAATGTCCGGTAAAGTGTCGGTTAACGCTAACCGACTGATAACAGATTTTATTACCGGCAGAATTCTTCCGGTTAAGTGTCGGTTAACTTTAACCGGACATCGTAAGAACGGCCCTTAGATAATTGTTTTGAATTTTTGATCTTAGGTAAAATGTTACAAACTTAGGTTAAGCATTTCTAAGTATGTTTTTTTTCACGTATTATTGAATTAAATTTGGTTACTATTTGAATATTTTATTATCCAAATATATAATATCATATAGTATTTTCATATTATGTATACTTACTAATTTTATTACATAATTTTAAATAAGACATTTTTAATTGGTATTAAATAAATTATTTATAAAATTATTATAATAATTATAAATCAATTATGACAAATAACAATCTGAAATCTTTTTCTTCATTTCAAGATTTCCAGTTAAAACATAATATAATAGCAGGTATTCAGGTATATTATAAAATGTAAATCACACTTTTATACACAATACACATATCATTGTAGAATCATTACATTCATCGTTCTGCTTAGAATCTAAAATTGTTAATCTATCAAAAGGAAATAGTTATTCAAGCAATAAATATAAATAAATAATAAAACACAATTACAAAAAATCATATAGGTATAAAAAAGTTTGTGACTATCACATACTGTCACAAAATATTAAGTATATTCATATACCTAGGTAGTCTATAAAAAAACATTTGTTTGTGCCACAAACAAACCGTCTTTCAAGCAGGCGATTTATAGTTAAATGTTGTGATCCTGTAAAAATATTAACAGAAAAAATAACTTCAAACTATTTTATATCTTCACTTGTCAAATATTATCAAAATTCACAGTTAAATATCTTATAGGAAATGGACCAATCTTTCCTTGAACATACCCATCATTATGATGGCCTGCCCTCCTGAGGAACATTAGTATATCCCCATCAACATTCAACGTCTGTATTTGTTTTAAATGGCCAATCATTACCAAATACCAATATTACAAATATTAAAAAACTAAAACCCATGGTAGGCTGGTTGGGGTGTAACCACGAACTAAGATATCTTAGTCCGTGGATGTAACTGTAAAGTGTAAACTGTGTATCTAAGTTCACTTGGAATTCGAATGTGCGTGAATCTTAGAGACATTATTAATAATACCTACTCTTTGTCTGTGCGTCTGACCAATAAGCAATAAGCAGTAAGCAGCTTTGTGGACCACAGAGTACAGAGTATTGTAATAAATTCATAATAACGTTCAAGTGTTCGACTCATTCTTCTTTCTCTTGGCCCTTCACACGTCACTGCGTTAGTCATTATACTCATTACCATTTACCAGTTACCACAGCTATAGCCTATAGAGTAGATAATATAGAGACCATGGATATAGACTATCATGATTCATGACCAGGGCTATAATGAGTTCATGCTCTAAAAAATGCCAAAATAAGCTGGAAAAATATCCATTGAAATATGCCTTTAAAAGTTCAGAAATATGCATTTATATGCAACTCAAAATCTCAGTAGCGGCTCGTGAGTAAATATTCTGGGGAGACTTAAATTATATAACATAAATTCCATATAACAACGAATAAGAAAAACCTTTTTATTGAAAAAATTAAGTATAATAAATATTAAGTTTTATTTGATTTTTTTGTTCATATGTTAAGGCATTAAAACCACTGGTTAGTAAAAATTCTATTATATTTTCTTTTTGCATTTTAAAATACGAAAAAATCCTGTAATGCTTATAATAATATAAAATATAATAATAAATGTTAGATTGTTAGATGGATAATATACGTATAATAATTATTAAATAATGAATAAACAGTGAATAAAACGTCTAAAGCTAGTTAAATACGGGTATACACGGCGCAGCGGCACGGCAATTACTGTCGTGAACCCAGGTTCAAAAGCGTTTAAGCGTCTATGATACGCAGCCTATTCTCCCCGGCTCCCTCCGACCAACCAGCCATGCCATTACATGTTACGTTTGCAACTGACGGGCTTCAGTTTCACTGAACCGGCGACCGTCGTAATGAGCCGTAATGACCCGCAGAAATGACTAAAATAGTATTTATATCGAGTATCGAGATAGCTATTAATAGGTTTTCGATTTCGTGACTTTCAATTTAATATAGGTAATAATAAACAATGAAAATTATATTTTAAATACAAATGAAAATATTTCTATACATTATTATTTTTAATTAATTATATTATTTACAAGTAGCTAGTTTATTTTTAAGGGGAGACGCAGTCTCAAAGTCTCCCCTGACGAGCCGCCCCTGCAAAATCTAAAAATATGTAGATTAAAAAATAAAAATACTATAAGTAAATTTTGGAATAACAAAAAATGTCCATTTATATTATTAAAAGTTATATTTTATTATATTAATGTACCCAATTTCAAAAAAATATATAAATCAATGAAATTCAATTCAATTAATAATAAATAATAATAATCAATTCAATTAATAATAAATAATAATAATCAAATAAATTAGTAATAAATAATAATAATCAATTAAAAAAATATCCAGTCAGTCCAGACCAGTCAGCTCATTTTAAATCCAAACACTATTTCATATAACATGTTTTCTACTAATTGCTTAACGCGGGCTACGTGCCCTACGTTTATATAAGTGTACTCGCTTTATCTGCTCAAAACGTTTTATTTTTAATAATTTGATGTTGCGAAAACTCCCGTACTGTGTAAAAACATGCATAATAAAATAGAAAAACCCATAAATATGCAAATAGTTAAAAAACCTCTAAATATGCAAAAATATGCAACATAAAATTTCACATACTTAACCACAGTACCTTGAAATGGATTTCTATGTCACCTAGCTTTAAATACGACTTAGAAAGATTGATATACAAATGCACGAAGCCCTGTTCATGACTATCGTGCTCATAGTTCTGTGCATGGGGAGCTCATGCTCTGTAGGGTAACAATTCTGGGGAGACTACAGCCCACGTCATTGCAATTTGCAGAGCTATTAATTTAAAATAACTGAGGGGCCTTAATATATCTAAATAAAAAAGGGATATTTTTGGGGGGCTAAGCCTCCCATAGACCCCCCCCACACCACTAGTTCAGCCACTGGTTCTGTACTTCTTCGTCAATACTCATTAGTCATTACTATGTGTCTATGTGGGGTGCTGGGGTCGGTACACAGTCCACAGTTATAATTATTAATTATTATAGTAGTAGTATAATATATCTAAAAGAGTGGCCAGTAATTAGTACAACCATAGAACATTATAATTTATAATATTATAATATTCTAATATTCTATGGTAAAACCACGGACTAAGATATCTTAGTGTTTGACTCAATGTTTTACTATTGTCAGTCACATTAGCCATAAGATATCTCTATATCTTATAGATCGGGGACTGGATAAAATTATAAATATTAAATAGTGGATAAAATTAAAAATACTATTTTCTACCAGCTTCGGCTTTAAAAAATAATGCTGAAGCTGCCGCAGCGCCTTTTGTTTTGTTTAGTTAGCAGTTGGCGACCCTGGGTAAAATTGTAAACAAAGTTCTAATGATAAAAAGACCGACTCTATTTACTGATTGTACCCTCGACGCCGCGACGGTGATTAGAATAATACAAAAATACGAAATACAAAATACAAATTACTGACTAGTGACTATTACGAACCGTTTTAAACTTTTAAACCTCGTATCTGTCATATTATATTTTTACACCTTACACAGTTTTAAATTTATAAATATATAAGTATTGACTACTGTATCATAACATGAATTTACATTTGGTTTTTTGAAAAAACACTTGGTGGTGGAGCGGAATCTCTTTTAATATATTCCAAAATCACTTACAAACAACTTTTCGGTTTGGCGCTACAATTTAGTAAACAGTAAGTGAATGTTATATGAAGAAGTGCGATGGAGCTGATGATATGTTACTCATCGACCTGCCGGATCGCACTGCAAGCCAAGAGCACAGATCCATTGACTTGGCATAAATTGCACTCATTGTTACCAAAATTACATGAGCATCTATCTTGTCAGGTATGTCATAAGCTGGTCGACCGACTTAATCCCTATTTAGACGGATATGCATGTACAGTGTGTGTGAATTACCAGATAACCGAAACCCCGTCGGGCACAATAATACAATGCTACAAAAAACTATGTGCTTATATACATAGCTCGCCACTGTATAAAGTGATGAGCACAAGAGTTGAAGACCAACGGTTAGTCGAAATAATAACCGAAGTTATTGGTCTACCTCGATCAGTTAATGGTTACAGTGGAATGGGAAATGGAACAGTGATTAAACAAGAAATAAAAGAAGAGGAAAGTGAAGATGATATGACGTTAATGGTACATAGTACAATGACTAAACAAGAAATAAAAGAAGAGGATAGTGAAGATGATATTATGTTAATGGTAAATGGTACAATGACTAAACAAGAAATAAAAGAAGAGGATAGTGAAGATGATATTAAGTTAATGGTAAATGGTACAATGAATAAACAAGAAATAAAAGAAGAGGATAATAAAGACGATATTACTTTAATCTCGTCATCAGATATTCAATTGCCCACTGAAAACCAAACATCAGGGGATTATATTAACTACCAATTATTTGATGTACAATCCCAGAAACCCAAAATCCAAAATCAATCTGTATTCAACAATATTCCTAAAAAGAAGGTTTGATTCAATTTTTTTTTTTTCACCATTATAATAACTTAAAATATTTTATGTTTCAATAGAGAAATGATCGTCGTTGGGGCTGTCGATGTGGTAATGCTACAACTACTCCTGGCAAGCTAACATGTTTTGGACAGAGATGTCCCTGTTATACAGAACAAAAATCTTGTGCTCAATGCAAATGTAGAGGGTGCAGAAATCCTAGACGGAACAGGTCCAATAATGATGACAACTTAGAAATAGATCAAATACGTAGGAAACCAGTTACCTTAGAATTAGTATCTTCACTCAAGCCTTCTTCCCATAATAATAGCAATACGGTAATATTAAAAAAATTACCTATAAGACATATTTATTAAAAATATATATTTCTGTTTCAGGCATTTAGTTCTTATACAATGCATGATATGTTACAGTTTTCTTCACACAGTCAAAATTTCGATCAAGGTGGGACTGAAGACAATCTTGGACATGTGAACTCTATTTTCCATTCTCCTTGAATAACCATCATTGAACATTATGAAGTGCCCGTATTATAATCGTTAAACTAAGATTAAACCACCAGATTTTGCCGGTAAAATCAGTGGGTTAAGGTTTAAACTATGATTGTAAAACAGGCCCTAAATGTAACTAGTGTTGTATGCTATCTGAAGGAATGGTGGTGTTGTATACTATGAACAACAGATATATTACTTACCGTAAAATAGGATGATTTCAGATATGTAGGGTGATTCCAGACAATACCATGTTCAAACACAAAATACCACAAAAATCAACTTTTAAAAAAAGCGTGGACTTCAATGATGTTAATTATTATTTTTTGGTATGTGATTTCAACATACTTTGAACGTGTTATATTTTTTCATAATTTTAGAAACAATATGTTGAGGTTAAATTTTTAAAAAGACGTTAAAATCTGTCCGGAGTCACCCCATTTTACGTTACATCTTAAATGGTTATTATAATTGACTCTTGGGATTTTAAATCATTTTTTTCATTTGATATCAGCATATTATGTATTATTGAACTTTCATAAATACTTAAAGGTTACTTTAAAATCTTAAAAGAAATCGAATACTAAAGCTTGAATAACTGACCCTAAACATTTTATTTGAGCGTTTTATAATGAAGAGTCTTTATTTAAAAATAGAAAAAATATTGTATATTATTCTTTATAATTTATAACTCATAACACATATTAACTTTAATAAAATTCACTGGAAACTATATACCAAAGAATTCATAATTAACAGTTAACTAAAATTCTTTAGGTATTATTTCTAGATAATAATATCATACTACTAAACTATTTACGGTAGGAAGTGTAGGTAAAATATAGCATACAACACTAATGTATTAACTATTAACTACCCATATGTACAATACAACACCAGCAAGAGGAAGAGCAAGATCGATTCCCCTATGGCCCAATCCGTCCTTGAGTAACAGTACTATCTCTTTAAGAGGACGTAACACTGGTAGTTGTTGTCTTCGTTTACCAGTGCGTAACATAGCAAATAGGCCCCGAGACACCATACACTTAGTAGGCCCCCTTTCAACTTTGATTTAAAAATAAGTTTTTCATTACATATTAACGACTTTATATTATTGTATAACTTTTTACTATACAAAAAATATACAGAGTGTATTTTATGGCATTGTATGCAGGTTTTTTTTAACAATTATGGATCAATGATATGGAATTTTGTTAAAACAAAAAGACTTGTTTCTTTATTTTTAACAGGCAATTTTTTTATGATCTTTACTAAATTGTTAAACACGCAATTGTACCAATAATATAATTGACTTTATTTTTTCAAATAGTAACCACTATATTTTTTGATGGATTCTGGAAAAGCTTTTTTTCTGATAATTTTGACAGTCAAATTATCAATTTTGGTTCGCTAGGTTATTAACTATGGTTCTCTTAAATTTAGTAAATATGCATTAATACTTTTAACAGAAATACCTAATTTACAGGAGCTAAAAAGTTTTTTCTTAAAACTATCTTTTTATATACTTAAATCGTTAAATTGGTAATCTAAAATGCTAAAAAAAAAAAAAAAAATATAGGGGAACAGTTCATTATTTATAGTTAGTAATTTTTCGTGATATAAAATTGGGAACAATTTTGTTTTATAATTATTAATGATAATTTACCTACTATACATACCTACCTACTTAAATATATATTTTTTTTTTTTTTGAAAACTATTGGAAGCATTAAAAAATATATTTTGGGGATAAAAATGGGCCCCGGGACCGTGCTCCCCTAGCCCCCCCCCTTAATCCGGGCTTGCTAACAAAGCTACACGTTTTCTGCTGAGTGTAAATTGGCTATGTTACGCACTTGTATGACGGAGACAACAAATACCAGTGTTACATCCTCTTAAGTATGAGCAATAATATTATAGTTGAGATATACTCTGCGCCAGGAGAGAAAATGACCGTTTTGAGCATGCAGACTAACGACAGATACTAGTCCGAGGCCCCATTTCCCCCACTTTGAGCTGCAACGGTATATACTCTGTTTAAAATGAGAAGCCATCAGATTTACGTAAGAAAACCGGTTTGGACCAAGGCTGCTTGGCTCTTTGGTGCTTCTCATTTTGAACAGAGTATAGATTGTATATACTGTATATATTATAGTGTCATGCGTAACTGAACGTACCAAACATTAACGAGCTGTTGTCATTGAGTGGGGGATACGCGGGATCGGATGTGTTTTGGATGGGTTGATTGTATATATTCCCAAAAGGTAATTCTAAGTATTGTTCCACTATTTTAACTAATAAAATAAACTAATAGATATTTGATGTAAGTCTGTCATGTGGACATATTGTATTGTATTTGAAAAAACATTTTATTATAAATTATCATAGTACTGTATACCTATTAACTAGCTTATTCAAATATTATGCTATTTAATTATAATAATGAAAATACAAAATCTTTGAATAATATTATATGTACAAAAGTCCCCCCCCCCCCCAATGATTGCCCCATTACCTGATACATCGTGCCAGGATTGCCTCTAATAGATACTGAAATATTAATTTGACTAATTTGAGGTCTATTTCTTTGTTGTCAATATGTATATATTTTTATTTTTCCCATGGAAATCTTTGAACAATTGTTGATAATATATTAATTGTTAAAATAATTCTTATTACTATAATTTTATGTTGTCTTACAAAATGTGTGTATGTATAACTATAGTACAATGTCAAAAAATAAAGTTTCATTCGTTATTAATATCATATAAACACTTATATTTGCAATTTGTTTTTATGGAAGTATTCTAGTACTCTTAACTATTCATATCATCTCTACCTTTAGCATATAACAGTCTTAGTTATAAAATGACAAAAGTAAAAACCATTTATCTCTTAAGTGCCCTTATTACAATTGTTAAACTAAGGTTAAACCACCGAATTGGGCTGGTAAAATCGGTGGGTTATGCGTAACTGAGGTTTAAACTATGATTGTAAAATGGGCCCTTGAGAAGATTAAGAAAACTATTGGAAATATTGTAGGCTGTTGATACTTAACAACAGTTATTAATTGTTATTATTTATTCTTTAGGCAATAAGGTTTAACAAATAGCTTAGTATAAATAGTATAAATATAATATGTATTAAGTGTAGTTGTTAGATTTTGGTTGTGGTGATAAACTTAAATGAAATATATATAAATAATTTGTGTATTTTTATTATGATGTGTGTTATTAGTACCTATGTTATAAGATTTAATTTTTGTGCAGTCTCGAAAGAAGAATTATGGTTTATTAACATTTTCTCAATCAATCATGTTTTTTATGGTACTTAAAGTAAACATAGTCATATAGAAATAACATTTTTACACTTATTATACACAAAATATTGCTTATTTCAGATATTGGATTACAAATTACCATATAGCAATCTAGCTTTCCCTAGGCACTACACAGAATGTGTACAGCTAACAATTTAAAATAAAATGTATTGTAATTATTCATCTATATACAATATAATCTATATTCTATCTATGTATTATATAAAAACCAAATACCGCTCACTCACTCATCGTTACATCTCATAAACTACAAAACGTACGAACTTGAAATTTGGAATAGTAGTTCCTTTAATGATCTAGATGAGCAATAAGAAAGGATTTTCTGATATTCGAATTTTAAAGAGGTGGTCAAACATGGTTCTTAAGATTAACGGTAGAAATTGAAAATTTTTTGTTTGTTTATAAATGTTTGCCATTGGTTGCAACTTTGCAGATTATAATTATAATAATAGAAGAAATTAGTATTATTTTATTTTTTGCATATAAATGGTTTCCATTGATTACTAGGGCAGACAAGGTACAAATAGCATGCATCAAATTGTCGCGTTTATATGGCCACGATTAAAGAAACTTTATCATAAAATCAAATGTATGTGTGTAGTTAATATAGGTACTCAAAAACTACTCGATTTGATTTGAAAAAAATCTCAGAGATTGTTTTAGAGATATTAGATAAGTTTAGGGAGTAAGTAGTTTGAACTTTAAACCACGTTAAAAAATATACCAAGTGCTTAATTCTATACACAACTTGTGGTTGCCCATCTAGGTCGAATTATATCACAAAGCTAGGTACACTGAAGCCGATTTGTGAGTACACCTACATAGCGTATAATATACTATTTAGGATTTTCTACAAAAAAAAAAAACTGCACACAGGTGGAGCCGGGATGTTTATCTATTCAGCTAGTATTATATAATATTTTTATGGCAATAACAGTAGTTAAAATAATATTTTTTTTTGGTATTTCATTGGTAATGCGTTATGCACTGTATCAGATAATTAAACAAAATGTTTTAAAAATAGCTAAAATAGTACTATAATCTGGGCCGGCCTCTTGTACATAGCTGATAGATCCTCCTTGCCACTCTACAATAGTACAAATTGTACAATAGCCAGTTGCCCAGTTAAGATATTATGTCATTATGTACACAACACGTCAAAAACATTGGAAATATTCTAATAAAATGATAAATACATAATTCATGCTGAACATTTTATTCATTTTTTTTTCATGAAACTCCGTTAGAACATAACAACAATTTGAATATAAGTATTGTTTAACATTTATAAACCAAATTGATTAAAATATATGAAATAGTAGGTATACAACATTTAAAATACAAAATCAGAAAATGTTATCCAAATAATATGCTCAATGAGCATTTGTAAATATTTTGGCCAATATCATTGATTTTATATTATAAAATCAATGCCAATATGTACCGTTATGGAACACATTTTAAATGTTTATAATTATATTAATTAACATTAATCCGGTTTTAAGTTATTCTGTAGATTTTATGGTTTGCATCATCTGCTCATTTACAAATGATACCATTTCTTTTGTACTTTTGTATCAATCTGTGACATAACTTTACCTATTTCCATAGGCGTAGCGTGATGAATTTAAGTATAACCTATTTTATTTCTGGTACACAATATATATTCTAGAAAAGTAACTAAAAAAATAAAACAAAATTTCAGAGGGATTATAGCCCCCTTAGACCCCCCCCCCATTCTACGCCTATGCCTACTCCTATGTACAGTTTAGTTTTACAATTTTATTTAGTAGTTACTTAACTGATTATTTGCATGTAAGATATACCAATAAAAATACATTGACAATTTTAATTTGACTAAACAAATACTAATGCATTATTGACTTCCACTATATCTATTACTGGCTAGCTACTATTGCACTTTAATAATAAATTAAAATAACAGCTCTCGTAAGGTAAAATGCAGTAGATTAATAAGGTAAGAGTTTTGAGAAGAGGGCTTTATTGTGTACGTTTTTTTATTTTGAAGAGAATTTTATATCGATTGGATAACATTCTTCAGACACATTAACATGAAAATTAAAATCTAGTTTTAGATTCTGAGCGGAGCGATGAATGTATTGGTTTTACAATGATGTGTGTTTTTATATTTTTATATTTTTATATTTTTGTGTCTGTCATCACGTTTTGGGACAGTAAAAGTGCTTCGATTTTCTTCAATAGTACCTTTTCTGATAGGAAAGTGAATCTAGTTGGTACTTTGGGGGGTCAAAAGTAAACATTTTCCAGTAGTTTTCACAAGCGCCGGGAAAAACAACATAAAAATTAAGGAAAAACGGTAATTTTTACGCAAAATCGATTTTCCAAAAAATCGAATTTGGTTTTTGGTGTAACTTTAAAACAAATGACCGTAGATACATGAAATTTTCACTGGTTGTTTATATTTGCATTTTCTATACACGATAACATTTTCAAAATATTTTGATTTATTTTGAACTGTTTAGGGACATTTTCATTTTTCATTTTTTTTTAGTTTTTTTTCTAGAAATATCAATAAAATTTTATTTGTTGGTTGCGAAAGCTTGAAAATGTAATAGAAGGCTCCTAATATGTTGTTTCAAAGGCAGATGAAAAATATTAAAAATCCTTAGTCACAATTTTTTTTTATAAGCATTTAAAGTTCAAAAATTTACAAAATATGGAAAAATCACGAAAATCAGCAAATTATTTTGAGTTAAGAATTCGTAAAAATTTTTCTTTTTAAATCTAAGATTTGAAAATGAAACACAAGATTCTTTATAAGATTATCTACCTTTATCAATAAAAAAATCTCTACCGGACAGTCAAGTTAAATTTTTATGAGCGTTTGAAATTAAAATTTTTACAACATTGGATATTCACTCGATTTCTCATGTAGCGATTTCCTTATTTTGTTGTAACTCAAAAACGAACAACTGTAGATACATGAAAATTTCACTGAATGTTTAAATTAGCATTTTCTATACACCATACAATTTTGAAAATATTTTGACTCTTTTTGAGCTGTTTAGGGACATTTTCAGTTTTCAATTTTTTTAGTTTTTTTTTTTATAATTGTCAATAAAATTTTATTTGGTGGGCCAAAAAGTCTGAAAATTGAATACAAGCTTTCTTATATATTGTTACAATATCAGTTGAAAAATTTTAAAAATACATAAGCACGATTTTTTTTTATTAGCATTTAAAGTTGGAATTTTGACAAAATTTATCAAAATCTCGAAAATAATCAATCGTTGGAATTAAAAAATTATAAAATGTTCAGTTTTTATAACTAAGAGTTGAAAATTTAAAACAAAGATTCTCTTAAATAATTCATACTGTAACCAAAAAATCTAAAAAATATATAAACACACTTATTTTTTACAGACATTTTAATTTCAAATTTGGACAAAATTACATATTAAAAAACCTAGAATAACTATTTTAGTTATTTTGTTGTGGTTGAATAATATTATTAGTGGGTACTTGAAACTTCTAAAGTGTACTATTATATATCTATGATAGTATCACGGTTTTTGTTGATGTATAACGCGTTATAAGTATCTAATGGATATTGTGATATGATTAATTTGGAATTTATTATAGGTACCTATTATAGGTCAATTTTTTGTTTAATACCATAGATATGTATATAATATGCCTTATACATAGACTGACATACCATCACCGCTCAGAATCGTTTTTCTTATACAATGATATTATATCATTGAATTCAAATTTAATACCATCCATTATACAGTGACCCACTTGTAACCTACTGTACAGCAGAGCGACACCCACTTGCCCACCTTTTTTAAATTAGCTTTACCCTAATTGTATTTAGACTCTCAGCGGCTTAGCTCGAGGAAGCCGAATAGTGAGTAATTTATATTAATATTCGAATAGTAGGAATAAAATAAATTAAATACCAAATAACAGTTTATTTTTGGCAGTTTATTGAAAATATTGACTGCGAGTATTTCTATAACTAAATACACAAAAGAATATTTGTTAGGTACTTAGGAATGAGGTATTTTCTTATCCCTTTACAATTATTATAGGTTACTTATAAATTAAAAATTATTGTTGTAACACAAAAAAGGGGCAAGAAAATAATTAAATAACACAATTTTCAATATTTTGGTATCTAGAATTATTTTAATAGCTGTAATGTAGTAATTAATCTTAAACAAATAAATTAGGTTACAGAAAAATGTAACTCTTTCGATTTAATTTTTTCTCTTCATACAATTAATAAATTCTATATTGTTAACATTTTTTGTAATAATAATCTACTAATTGTAACGATAAAAAAAAAAAAAAAAAAAATATAGTAATAAAACCCCAGTGATCACAGTCGCTTTAAAGGAAAAATTATATATATATATATAATATATTTATGATAAATAAATTATAATAATTATATAATTATACAAATATAGTTGTAAACACATGAAAACAAAACATTAATGAAAATATCAAACTATAGATAGAAAGACCAGTTTTTAAGTGAGAGCAAAATATAAAGCCCTGTAAATGGTATAATTTCATAGGTACAGAAAAAACATAATACAAATTTATGATTATGAGCTGGTTGGCAGTTCACTTGACGTTCTACACAGCAAATTTCTTACAAACCCTCTAGAAGAAATTAAGAAAAGATTATTAATTACAGAACATCAAATATATGGTAGAATTACCTACCTGAGAGGTAAAAAATGTTGATGAGATTCCATCACTGGAGGAGAAATAATGCTGACTGTATTGCCAAAACGCACTTCAGTAGTGGCACGTGATCTAATTGAGGTTGCTGGAGTATCAGTTTCATCACTATTTCCCAATACACGTCGCATCAGGCCGGCAGTCAACTCTTCTAATGAACTTAGAGACAAATTGAGGGGCTGTTGTGATTGTGATTGGGTCTCGTCACCTACATCACCCGACATTTTATTGCCAGAACGCATTGACGCCGTCTCACTATTGTCAACTCTTGTGGAACATAATTAAATTAATTTATTTAGGAATATGTTCTAGAAACTCTTCAGACCTATAATGGTATGATACCAGATAAGTTTAAACAATTTTTTGTTAAGTGAAACTACTGTTTTACTATTATTATATTTTAAACATTTTTTATGGTTACATTTATTAAAGTTCAACAAACTTCAAAAGTATGAAAACATTTTAAAATAAGATCAAGTTTAAGTTTGTGTAACTATAAGCTTAAATTCAACCCATCCTTAATTTTTATTTAATAACTAATTCAATTCACATCTTATTTTTATTTTGACTGTATATTTGAATCTTTGGTAAAAATGAGCACTGTGTGATTAATTAATTTGTAAAATAAATAATTACTTTTGAGCTAATAAACTTCCAGCTAATGCAACAGTACTTGCTGATTCTTGATCAACATCTCTTCCTAATGCAGACATAGCTTCCCATTCACTCCAGAATGACGGTTCTCCAATGGAAGGATTACCAATTTCAGCACCATGACTAACAGTATCACCATCTATAAACAAAATAAAACTTGATATTTGAACAATTGTTTAAAATAGATTAATATTAAATTTGACTTACCAGGGGTTGTGAAGTAATCAATATTAACTGTCTTAGGAGCACTGTGCTCTTCATCAAAATCAAAATGTACTCCATTTGAGGATGTAGTAACTCCGCAGCCACCTGAGCGACATAGAGATACTGGAACTACACCGTAAACATAAAATAATAATATTGGAACTCCAATTCCAACAGCTAAACTGGCCATAACTGGTGCAGCAATCAACTGTAAGATACAAAAAAGGCAACTATATTTTTATAAAATTAAATATTAAGATTATTTTTTAAAAACCGGGTAAGTTGATGTCTCTCTACTGTACAGTAGGTTACAAGTGGGTCAATGTATAATGGATTGTATTTAACTTTATTTCAATGATATAATATCAATGTATAAGAAAAATGATTCTGAGCGGAGACAGTTTGTCAGTCTGGATATTATACAGGGTGATTCTTTTATCATTGAACACTCATTATTTCAAAAAGTATTAATGTTTAAGAAAATATTTTTTTTGCATAGTTTCAAGTTGTTAAAAAACAATATTTTTATTAAAAAATTATATTTTTAAATATTTTTTATCCTTTTAATTTTTTAAGTTTTTTACTTTTTTGAATGACAACATGTAATTTTAATTTGATATTCAAAAACAGAATATTTTTCTGAGTATTTCGATACATAAAAATTGAATTTAGGGCAATTAGTTTATGAGTTATAAGTATTTAAAGTTTAGATGAGCGGAGTAGAGTGGTAGGGGGTTACCCCGCGAAATGTTTGTCCACTACTCCGCTCATCTAAACTTTAAATACTTATAACTCATAAACTAATTGCCCTAAATTCAATTTTTATGTATCGAAATACTCAGAAAAATATTCTCTTTTTGAATATCAAATTAAAATTACATGTTGTCATTCAAAAAAGTAAAAAACTTAAAAAATTAAAAGGATAAAAAATATTTAAAAATATAATTTTTTAATAAAAATATTGTTTTTTAACAACTTGAAACTATGTAAAAAAATATTTTCTTAAACATTAATACTTTTTGAAATAATGAGTGTTCAATGATAAAAATATCACCCTGTATATTTTTGTTATTTAATACAGGTTGCGGGCCTAATAGACTCCCACATTTCTGAAGCAAATTAAAAAAATCTATACAAGATATGGAATTTTTTTTTTTGTTTATTGAAACTACATTAAATAAGGTTTTTTTAAAGTTATTTTTAAAAATTATATCGTCTAAATGATTGCCTTTTCGAGCGACGCACATGTGGAGCCGTTCTCAAAAGTTTTCCATTACTCAGGCGAATATTAATAATACTATTCAAAAGTCAGTAAGTCCAAATTAATGATTTGTATTTTAACTATAATAATTAATTTTTTCACAGTGCTATAATTATTAACAACTATTAGTAAATACATACTTTGCTGAAAAGAAAATCAATCAAAACAAACAAAAACAAAATATGGTTACATTTGGCAGGTATATTTAAAGTTTGAAAAAATAGCCAATGCTGATTCTCAAAAATCATGTTTTTGGACTTAATAGGTAATTTGCATTAATGGGACGAAATACTTAATAAACTACGAATAATAAAGTAAAAATTAATCTGATTTTTGAGATTGGTTCATATTCAAATTTTTATTATAAGGAGGGGAGGGTGGTTCACTCATCGCGAGGTTACTGATTTAGTTTTTAACCTATTTTGGTAGTCGCGACCTTATAAAGGTTGAGAAACGCTGGTCTTGAGGAATCTTGTTTTATAAATGTTCAAATCTTAGATATAAAAAGCAAAATGTTTATGAATTTCTAACTCAAAATAATTCCCATAAGAAAACCATGGTGAATTTACGCACTAGTTTTTTAAACTACTCTAATAACAACTACATATTACAACCTAATACTAATATTATATAGTATTATACCCATATTAATACCGTAATAACTGTACTGTATTACATTTTCAAGTTTTTTGAAGCGAAAAAATTTTATTATAATTAAATATAAACTAATACAAATTTAAAATTGATTATGCCTATAAATAGCTTAAAAGAATCAAAATATTTCTGATATGTTATGGTGTACAGTAAGTACTTATATAAAACATTCGGTGAAAAATGCATGTATCTACGGTTAAAAACATTAACGATTTTTTCAAAATCTGGTTTTGCGTAAGAGTTCTCGTTTTTCCTTGATTTTTCTTATTCTTCTGACATTTTTTAAAACTACTGTGAATTTTATATTTAGATCTTTCAAAAGTACCAACTAGATTAACTTCCCCACCAGAAAAATACTTAAGTTGACAATTAAAGCATTATTTCGATTATTTATCGTGTATCGACGTACTTATAGTATATAATACACTATACGGTCTATACGTACACAAAAAGTAAAATAAAAACACACATCATTATAAATCAGTAGATTCATTGCTCCACTCAGAATCTAAAATAGACCGTTTGCATCAATATTAGGCGATGCGTGTAAACTACTGACCAAATTTTTAAAAGGATGTTGTAAAAAAAACATACCAATGCATGTAAATACTAGCCCTATAATTAGTAATTAACTAATTACTATAGTACGCAATGCCAATATAATGATTATTATAAAATGCAATCAAAATAAATACATTACTGTGTAATGAGTAGGGGGTCTTTCTATTTACTTTTTTTATTATTTGTAATCATCCACGCGATAGTGAACAATACGTGCCTTTTGTTGTATAGGAACTGATTTAGGTACCAGGAGAACGAGAACGTAACAATATAATGAAACCATAAACTATTGACGGTCACATAACAAAAACTACAAGAAATTAAATAGGTTCATAAGTGGTAATTTAGTCAAATTATAAAATGTTACCATAAAGTGGCCTTAATTTTTTTATAATTACGATAACCGCACCTTTCTATAACTTTCAAAATATTAAATATGTTTGTTCCGATTATCATTTATTAATTATAACCTACCTATTGTACAGTTAACAATAATCAAACACGATATTTCTCTAACAGAAAAAAAAAATTGTGTGTTGATTTATTTATCATAGGTTCAATATAAATAGGTACTTTAAAAAAATTAAATGTTTTTATTTCTGAGATAATAGTGTGGATATCCGGGCTATAGAAATGAAAACTCCAAAATAGAATTCAAAAATGTATAAAGCCAACTCCTTCTGCCCTCAACAATCACCAGCCATATAGTACGAGTGTTCTATATCACATTATATAAATTAATAAAAATGATTATCGGTTTTTTCATTTTTCGGTATCTGCTTGGCGTACTCGCGTCTCTCTATCATCCCAAAATTACGTCACGGAACGCTGGCTCAGCTCCGTGGTATTGATGGATCGCACGGATGACGTACACTCTTGCACACACCCACGGCGGCAGTCGGGCGCTCCGCGGGTCGCGCGAAGCGAGACGGCGGAAGCGAGCGCAAGATGATGGGAGGGAGACTGCGCACTGCAGAAGCGAGATCGTATAGTACCAGCGGCGGGGAGAGATCGCGATCTGCCGACGTTTCCCCGTTGTTTCCATTGCGGGGGAGGGGTCTCAGTCGGCGGCTGCCGATACTCGGACGAGGGGCGGTTAAGGGTGCCTACAGTGACGGTGAAGGGGCCCAGGGGATGCAGGTCGTCGACTCGCACATACTTGTACACGCGCGCGCACGCAATCGCGCCGCCGCCTTCATAAACGCGCGCGCGGTCGAGGCCAGTGTTGTCGTGTAATACGCGTACTACGCACCTCCGCCGCACGGTCAGACGTCGAGCGCTGTCCATCCGCCCCCGACCGCGAGGCATCGTTAGCGATCCTCGGCCATGTCGTCAGCAGCCGCGTCAGCCGCCACCGATGACGACGACGAGCATCAGCGGCAGCCGCTGCCCGCCGACCCGGACTGGCTGTCAGGCGTCATCAGCCGGCTGATCGGCCGGCCGCGAGACGCGGTCACGGTGATCTGTGACCGGACCATCGCCACGCCCGCGGTGTCCGACCCGCACAACGTGCTCAGCTCTATAGTGGCAGTGCACATTGTGTACGCGGTGGACGGCGTCCCAGGCACCGACTCACTGGACGTGGTCATCAAGAGCTTGCCGCAAGAGCCCTACTCCAGGGCGTTCGTGCTTGAGGCCCAGTTCGACTACAGAGAAGTTCACTTTTACAACACGGTGGGTCCTCTTCATCTCCTCCCCCTAAACCACATATCCATTACACCAGTGGCGCCGAAGTCCATGCTGACGTCGGGCCGTGGCCCGACCTCTTTTTTGAAAAATGTGGCCGGCCGGCCATATTTAATTTACATCATAACTTTATTATAAGCATGAGTAAATTTAAACTGTGATTATGAATAAATTTATATTAGGGTACCTCTATATTAAATAATTAAGATATTGAGGCCGGGAAGTTTTAAAATTGCCCGACCACATTTTAAAAACTTCGGCGCCACTGCATTACACGACCTTACCCCGCCCCACATCCACATTACCAGACATCCCCCCCCTTGGAGCGTCTGCACGTCCATCGTCCTCTTGCACCGAGAGCATGCAAACTGCACACGAAAAATAAAACGAAGCCCCAATAGGATGTGTTGTTAATGTTCTGGAAATTCGTTTTAGATCATCCACCCCCATGCAAGATTAGCATCCGAAATTGAGTGAAATACACACAACGCTATATTATTATTATAGTCTGTAGATGAGTTATTCGATTTCAATCCGTGCGGACCGCGGTAATTGTCATGGCTACATAACGCCCGTCGTGAGTGCAGTAGACCTTGACCACTCGTTTCGATCATTAAAAACGACAAAAAATAGCTAGGCTGCAGTGATGCGGTTATAGCTCCCGCGGATGTTTTGAACAAATTCCAGTCAAGGAAATAGCGTGTACGTGGAGAGATGTATTATGCGTATTGTTTTATTTGTTACCGTCTAACCACACGCGACCCTGAGGTATCATAAACTTGAGACACCCTCACGCGTCAGATACGTCTGTTACTATGTCATGAAATTAATTGTAAGTTATAATGCTTGCGGTCAAAAACAACAACAAAAAAGTTAGTAGGTATCTAACAATTTAAATAAACTCGAAAAAAAGAAGAATTAAAACAATGGGTTTCGTGATAATAATATATCTACTATTTAGGTATACTTTTTATACGCTAATGATAAAAAAAAAAACCATTAAACAATAGAGATTACTATCCTGTCAGTAAGATAAATATATATTATTGAACAAATTTATTAAATTAACCCACTTTTATTCTGTCATAAGTCGGGTTTTTCCAATATACAATTGATAATTTAAAATTTTAATTATGTTTTAATAATAATACATCTATTTGTCTATCCTATTACAATGTTATTGATATACTTCTCTACAAAATGAAACCATGCAAATATAATTATTTGTTACACTATACCTTTTAAGCTTATATACATATTTAGAATACAAAACTATTATAAAAAAAACTATCCTCAGGCTAAAACTAACTTTTTCAAAATCCTTCAATATTCCAATTAAATATAAATTTACTAGAATATATTATAAAGGATTTTCGATTTTTTAAGCAAGATATCATTCATTTTTAAAACGCAGCATCAAAATAAAAAAAAACTATCAACCCCCTTACAAATAGGCACATATTATTATATTGTCTTATAAATTATAAATTATTTTTATTTCTAATATTTCAAATTTGATTACAGGTATTATTTGAGTTAAGAAATCTCGAAGAAGATTTGCTAACAAATCACAATCGTTCCGCGATTGGTGACATGCCAGTTGCCAAATGTTACTTTGCTGGTATGAATGCCAGTGGTAAGGACGAGTCGATGTTAGTATTGGAAAACTTATCCAAACGCGGATATACAGCAGCCAACTTCTCCACTGGACTGACATACACAGAGGCCAAACTCGCTCTTCGTTCTATAGCTCGAATCCACGCCACATCTCTTGCTTTAAAACTTAAGCACGGGCCGCTCACTGAACGTTGGCCGTTCTTATTTCAAACATCCCGTGCCACACTATCTTACCAAGCACTCGTCGAACGAGGAATGCCACAATTACACGTTTTCCTACGATCTAAAGGGCCTCAATACGATACTTTAATCAATACACTTAGATCTCTATGTCGTGTCACTAAACAAATAATCGGATCGCTAATGATACCTAAAGAACCAATGGGGTTGATGACGCATACAGACTTTTGGTGTAACAATTTAATGTTTGGCGAACAGGACCAATGTGTAATTCTAGACTGGCAAATGATATCCTATAGTAGACCAACCAACGATGTCGCACTTTTGCTTGTAAGTAGTTTGTCAACTGAAACTAGACGAAACCATTCAAATGAGTTGGTAGACATCTACTGGAAAGCTTTAACAACGCATGCGAGTAAATTGGGCGTGGATATAGAAGGACAACTCGAATACAGCCGATATGACTTGGATGAAGACATGAAGGAATCGAAGTTATTAGCAGTACTTTTGTGTATAGGTTCAGTGGACGTTGCTTTAGGCAATGAAGAAACTGAACAAAGATTACTAGACCTGTTGACCGATCTACAAGCTGAGGAAATCTTCAATAGACATTTAACTGAAATTTCAGCATAGTATTTATTCTATTTTATCTTTGTTTATTATGTATTTCTCCTTTCTCAATTAATACATTTAGAGCTTTCACACTATATAATATATAAGGAAAAATATACTTGTTAATTATAAGGGATTTATTTCACTTTTACTTTTAATATTAGTTCTGCAAATTCAGAGCCTGGCTCTTGAGGTAAATGTAATTTTTTTAAAAGTGTTAAGAATTTATGAATTATATTAATATTAGAAAAATATTGCTAAAGCTAAATCAACATATTAATTTCATTTTATGTACTCAAGTTTAAAAAGCCTTAATTGTTAGTATAACCTTAACACGGTACCTATGCATAGTAATTAATTAATTATTAGATCCTATAGCTCAAAACAAATGTATAAACATTAAACATGTTATGTTTTTCTTTTTAAAACCAGTTTTTACTGATTCTTTACATTTTAACATGTTAAAATTATGTTGCCTAAATTAATGTAACGGTGCTGTCCATACTACTCGTATTATGTGATTTTACTTACTATAGTAATAATAAACATTATTGATTATAAAATTGAAATTAATAATTGATTTTTAAGTACCTTCGAGTTAAATGATAAGGTACAATAAAAGTATATACATACAATAAAAAAGTGAAAATTAAGAATATTCAAATAATGTTTGTGTAAAAATATGAAGTACTTACTAAAAATGGTCAAGAAGCATATTTTTAATTAAATTATACAAATTCAGTGAATACAAAACTTTTAATACACATTTAAACATTGATAGTAAAACAATAGATACCATTCCCATTGTAAATATTTTAAAATAAAGTAATGAAAATATTACTTTTATATTTGTAAGACAAAATATAATTTACATAATATACTCCTCTGTTCTAACTTCAATCCCTGGGACAAATTAAAGTAAAACAATCTCAAGTCAAAAATATTTAATAAAACCATTAAAAAACAACATTAAAATAATTTTGAACCCTCAATTCTATAACTAAAAATTAATATAATTAGGCTATATCAATTGGATCACAAATTGTGAAATATTATATATTAGGTACTTATTTAATCACCATAATAATTTCATTAATTGAACCATAATGGCATAATAATAATAATAATAATAAATAATGTATTAATATAATAATGGTTTAAGCTAAAAAATAATAATTGAGAAGTAAATACTCACTGCAGCTAATACCCCACCGGCAATTGCAAAATTTCGTTTTAATCGACTTGAATGTCTGTAACGAGTATACATTTTACGTCCAGTCCAAACAGGTACACCTTTTAATATAAATAAAAAAAAAACACATAATAAATATTCAATCAATTCAAATCAATCAATCCAATAATTTCTAATTACCGATAATTATTGCAGGTATAGCAATTCCTGCGATTAGACCAATACCAGCTGGAGCTCCTACCAATGTACCTAATTGCCATAAAAGTTTTTTCTTTCTGGACCAAGGTTTTTTACCCCAAAAAGTACAACCTGAAGGACTAAAATTAAAATGTATACATAGATAATTCAATAACTAATTGCAATACTAATCCAAATAAATCAACAAAAATTACCTAAGATAATGTAAATCACTAACTACTTTCATACATAGCCAACAAAATTCTGCTCCACAAACTGCACATGTCATATGATTGCATGATCCATCGTCCATTTTCACAATTAAAACCTGGCAACGAGGACATGGCTTAATGTCTTCACCTAAAATGATATTATATGTTACTATTACATAGATAGAATAAAAATGTTATTAACGTTTCGTACGTGACTGTGAATCTGTACTAAATGTTAAAGATGAGGTTCTCATATTAGATGATCGTTTTGCTCTAGCGGAATCACATGTTTGATTAGGATGCCACGCAGCTTTGCAATGGTAACAAAAGTATGAATCACAACCAGGACGCTCACATTTTATTTTTGGGCAACTGGCACAACCCGCCGCTATCACAGCATAACTAAAACAATACAGCTTTATTATTATTTATTACCAATATACTAAGTATGCATAATTTATTAGTCTATTTCCAAGATGAGTTACAAGATTAAACTTTATAAAAAACAAGAATAAACTTAATGAAGCAAATTAGGTATTTCTATAGATTACATTAAGTCTTTATTTTATCACACAATTTTGTAAAAATAATTATATAAATATTGTATTATTTATATCATTAAATATACATAAATTATTATTATTTTTATTATTTTAATTTTGGTATTAAGTTCAATAACGTTTTCACATGTACTTATTGTATTACACATTATAAATAATTAATGATGGAACTTATATTATAAATTACGTTAAAACTACTAACATCAGTCATTAAATGGTATTAACAAGTTGGCAGACAGTCGACCGATTTTATAGCTATAGCAGTAATTATTATTATTTTTATTTTCTTGCATTGACCATTCAAAATATTACTGCAATGGCAGTACTCTAAAAACCCTCATAAATGTGACATTACTAGCAGTAATAATTGTAATGGTTTCTTGTGAAAGAGCAAGTTGTATTGCCCACGGAAAGCACATTGAACAATTCAATTTACAGAGCAATTTTTGTGTTGAACATTTTTTCCATTCTATTTATAAATTCCTATTTTTCAATTACAACAGTTACAATAATGTTCATCAGTTGCTCTTGAGTGTTGACTATTATAGTAAAATTTTAAAAATATTAATACTGCTATGACAGAAATTAAAGACATTTTTGGCATAATATGTATAACACATTTTAGATGAATATTGACATAACTGCAATAGCAGTAATGAAAAAGTGACATTTTAAGTATACACGTGAAACAAAATATATAAACAACTAACTGCCAACGTATTCATACATAATTAAATTTGAATATGCAATTAACTAGAATAATATAATATAAAGGTATAAATTATTTTCTTTCAATTGTTGTTGATACCCTTTAAATGTAAGACAATTTACCTGCAGTCAGGTGAAGGGCAGTATCTAGTATCAGGATCAACTGCTAACACCCTCCGTACCATAAAGTCTTCATATTTTTCATAAAGGGCTAGATTATTGAGCACACTTTGTATGTCTTAATAGAAATATATAACACATTAAAAAAAAGTTATAAGACTAAAAATTGTAAAAATAAAAATATACCATTTGGATGCATAGCCTCAGTACACTCTGGACAGGTGATGTTTACACGTGATTCACATATTTCTATACGTAAATATTGTTGAAAACAGTCAAAACAGGAACGATGATTACAAGTTGACAGTTTGGCAAAATAATTTTCATCAAATTTGGCTAGACATAATGGACACTCTAACAGACCATCAACTGGAACAACAATCTGGAAACACAAAATTGCATATAATTTTAAAAGATAATATTTATAAGTACATAAAAGAATAGTATTTATTTGAGGATAACAAGATATGTAAATTATAAATTTTCTTTCTTGTTCAAAAATGTATATGATATAAACAGTAGGTACCCATAGTTTTTGCACAGGGTTTGTAACCTTATTTGCATACAATCATTTAAGTATTTAAATTTTGTTTTAAAAATGTTGAATTTAAATTATGTATCTGGTTTTTTGTGGTAAACATACCTCCAATTTTTTTACCGCAAAAATACAAATGTATAATATTTAAAATAAAATTTAAATAAGAATTAAAACCAAAATAATAATTTAAAGTTTAAAAAAAAAATGTGGAAAAAACAATATTTTAATTATAATTCTAGAAATTAATTCAGAAATAAATGAAGTCGGATAAAAGTCAAATATTTATACTACAAACAAAATAATATGCAAATCTATAGTCCCAATCCCTATTTATAAGCCATAATATTTGAACAGCCAATCAGAAACTTAAAAACAATTAATATAATTTTGTTATGAAAAAAAAAAATTTAACATAAAGAAAACAAACTATGGTGATCTAAGAACCTTGATTATTCAAGGTTTGTCCATCCTTAATATAATCAACTACCAGAAACATGCTTTAGAAAACAAATTATAAAAAAACTATTAAATAAGATTTTATAATTCCTTGTTCCCACAATGTATTCTGGTTACAAATTTTATTTCCCTGATTTTATTTCATTAACTCTAATTATTTGCTTCTTCCTTAAGAAAAAAGTTAGAAGTATGGTGAAAGTTCAGAAATATGTAACAAAAGTTACACTGCTTTTGTAGATGCAAGGGATCAAACATTTTAACCATTTAAAAAGAAAAAACCATTGGAAGAGAAGAAGAAATATCAAATAACTACAATCTTTCTGGTTATAATATATGGCTTATAAACTTAAGAAAATATAATCAATGTCTACCTAATCAAATACAATAACAATACTGTCAATGTACTAAAAAACAGGTGCTACAACAGGTTGCTATATAAAATATAAGAGATTTACGAATAGCTAATAGAACATTTAATTAATTTAATATTTTAATATCAATAAAAAAATATTATATAATATTATGATCTAGGAGTATCGCCAAAAAAATCATCTAATTTTTTTAACAATATCAACAATAATTGTGTTTGTAGTCATAGCAAAATGTAAAGTGCCTGATAGACAATAGAAATATAAGGTAGATTAGGTTAGATACCTTATTCCAATAATTTAGTATAGAAATGTAACACAATTTTTTTTCAAATAAATTCTAATAAAAAATAACTAATAACATAACGATTACTTACTTTTATGTTACTTAATGGAGTAACCTTTTTAGGGTCTGAGTAATTTTGTCCAAACCCCAAAGGAGCTTTTTCAAAATCAGTTACATCTGCTACACTAGGACCACCTATAATAAATAACATATCAGATTTATTTTACGATATATGCCATACGGTAAAAAAAGGATAAACAATAAAATCAAATTTTACATGACATAATTTATGGCAAAATAAAAATAGGTATAGTAATAATAATAATAATAATAATACATTAGAAATAATTATGTTGATATTGGGGATTTGCAATTCAATTTAATTAGATAAACATTTAAAAAAACAACGCTGCTAAAGAAGTTTTTACTTCAAAAATCAGATATAAAATTTAATATTTCAATAAATAGAGAGATGCATTGAGATTTATGTGATGCCTAATAAACTTATTCATAATATTTTTTTAACTAATAATAACATGTTAATTTAAATTAAAAATACTGTAAAAATTATAATATTCCTAATAATAACGAGAATTAACAGGTAACTGTATTTGTTGTCTCTGCAGAGTATTAAAATGTAGCTGTTATTGTATTCCAAGAATTATTAGAGTTATATTAGTTTTAAACAATAAAAAATTTTTGAAAATTGAAACATTTTATGCTTTTATATAAACTTTAGATGAAATTATTATTTAGGTTCTTTTGTTGGTTTTTTTACAATATTTTAATTTTAAAAGAAGTTATATCTTAAAGTATAATATATTTTAAAAACTATTGTAAGTACCATACAACAACAAAAAATATTGAAACACAATAAATTTTGTTTTTATCTAAAAATTTGAATATATATATATATAGATTCACTCTAATATTAAAATGTCTATTATGTCTAACGTTGTAAATTTAATATGTTATATTTTGTTGTAAATAAATAATAGAGAAACATATTATTTTTTTATTTTATTTAGATTAAATATAAGTATTATTAAAATTATATTACATTTTAGCTATGATATGACGCATATAATTAACAACCTTAACCAGAAAAATAATTATACTTGAAAAAAGGGAAATAAATAATAACCAGTTTATGAGTTGTTCAACGATAGGTACTATTAATTTGTGACATAACCATAAATATATTATGTCCATTCAGTTCAAATAAGATCACATAATGTAACCAAATACAAAGTATACATTTAAAGAGTGATCAGATTTTAGAGTTAAACTGCATAAATAATGTTTAGAGAAAAAATTTAACTATTATTTCAATAATACCTAGTATAATATTAAAAATTAGTAATAATTACCTAAATGACAAAATATCTAGTTTACTCGTAAAATTAAATTGTATAACTTATAAGGTGATTATCATAAAGCCAATTGGATTAACAGACCATTTTACAAACATACCAGTAATAATAGTTCGACGTTTGCCATTTTGTGAACTTCCCAAGTGTCTAGCCAAAAATGTATTTGAATACAAAAGTCGGCGTAAAGAAAATCTCGGCATACGTCTTTTACGTGTAGGCGCAGCTGCACTTGTACTGGCTTCAGGCAAATCTTGTAACGATTTGGATCTCATACCGCGACTGTTATTTCTACTGTCTACACAATACAACATAATAAAGAAAAAATTAATGATTTTAAGTTATAACAAATCACTACATATTTCTTTCTTATATTTGGATGATATTATAAGTTATAACATCACACAGACTGTAATGATACTGAACAAGATGAACAAATGGCAATGGTACGTGGTTGGATTAGTGAAAGTTGGTGATCACCTTGACCAATAAAAATTATAAGGTATACCTACATCGCGAATTTAGATTATATTCATTATCTAACAAAAGTGGCATTGGGAACAATGTCATCGTCTATAAATTGATAGAAAAAAGTGTGAAAATAAAATATCACTTAAATCTACTAGGTTAATGACTTAGTTTAAATTAAAATATAAATACATTAATATAGTTTACTTTCTATATCAAGGATGCTTTTCTTAGACTATACATTTATGAACTTGGATTTTATGAATTAAACGTAGAATATAACATATAAATGATATATACAGGGTGTCCCGTGAGGATTTACTCATTAGCCGTAGAGGGGGACTCGCCGCCCGGACAAAAACCAGTTTATTGACGTTTTACTAATAAACTAAAAAAATTATTAAAAATCATGAGATTAATGAAAATAAAATGTTAAAAGCTCAAAATGTTCACAAAAATATACTCTATAGAATGGCTATCTTCAATTTTTTCAAAAATTAAAAAATTAAAAAATAATTTTTTTAACTTTTTTACTAAAAAATTTAATTTAATTAAAAAATGAAATATTTGTAGTGCTTACCTCTGCGAGTCTTAATAAAAAAACATAATTACGATATCTCCATTATTTCAGGAGATATCGCAATGAGTAAATCCTCACGGGACACCCTGTATATATATACTACTAGTCACGTCTTAGAAATTAAAATTAAAAATGTTATTTAAATACGAGATAATACATTTTCAAAGCTATATTATCATAGTCAAAATAACATAACATTAAAATAACCAAAAATTATTAAAATTATAGGTACAAAATTATTTTAGGTAGTTAATCGAATACAAAAATCTATGATCTCTAATTAAACAATTTTAAATAGATAGGTATGAGAGGAAATAATATAATATGTTGGATGAAATTATGGACCGGCAATGTGTAATTACCAATTACCTTCAAATCCTTCTCTGACACTGTTAATTATCTGATAAATTACCTACTAAACAAATACATAAAAGCTAAATAATAAAATAATTTTGGTTAAAAAAATTGTATAAATTAGGAGTCAATCAGCAGATTAACCTAATTAAAACCTTGAACATTATACAAAGATAAATTTACTTAATATAAAAAGTAATTAAATTAATAGAACGAGGAAATATAAAAAACCAAACATGTAGGTATCATTTTATTTTATGTCAAGACAATGCATATTGTACTATATTATATACGAATACTTTTGCCAAATTGTTTTTCTATGCACATTGTTGTTCATTAAATGTATTCTAGAAGCCTGAATTTAATAAATACAAATAAGTATAATTTAAAATGCAACAAAACAAAACAAAATATGTGGTGTAAATATGAATGAAAATTAAATTTGTAAACAATTTTACGACTACAATACCATTTAACCCTTTGAATCCTAATCAAGCATAGTCATCTAACAATTAAACAAAAGATACAGAAATATGTAAGATGAGATGACAAACATAAAATTTAGTATTTCCTTATGTATTACCAACAAATTATTATTATCTTTTCTATTTATCACTGTATAACACTTATATATAAATAATTACATATTGTTCACATTTATTTATATTTTGTATAATTGTAAATTTATTTAGAGTTGAAACACAAACTGCTCTAAATGTTAACCTTTGTCCGGGTTACAGTTATATTTTTTGTAATTATTTTGTTGTACAAAACATGTTATAAAGTTTCACTATATTATGATGGGACAAATGCACACACACTCAATACATATTTTTTTTCACACGGATTTATCCAAAGTATTAGGTGACTAAAAAGATTGGAATTTAATTTATATTATAATAAGTAATAACAATCTCTACATATTTTGGTGTGCACCAGTGGTCCAAACCCCAAACCAAATTAACAAGAACCCGTACCACCCCTAAAATCCTTAAGAAATCAAAAACCTAAAGGCTAAAACCCATACAACCCAAATGATTCTGGTTTCAAAACACCCGAATAACCAAAACCCAAATAAAACATACTAGTTAATACGAAACCCAAAAATTTTTTTATTTTACATTCGTCATATGATATCTCATTTTGTGTGTATGTTATAAGGATAGTTCGATTTTTTAGATAATTATTTGTTTAATAATAACAATATTAGGTCATTTTCTAATAAATCAAAGGTAATACTATAAATATTTTCTTTAAAATAACTAGAAAATAAAATCTGATTCTATCATTCAGTTCCAATTAAGTTGAATTTCCAGATATTGAATTAATTACTTAATGAGTATAGTATAAAACCAAATTCCAAATATAGAATATCAATATAAAAAAGTGCGTAACACTCTGCTGTACATTAGGTGTCTAGACAGTCATTGTAATGGATGTGTTAAATTTGAATTCAATAATCAATGTATACGGAAAACGATTCTGAGCGAAGACTATCTGTCAGCCTATAATATTACTAAGTACATTTTATGATATTATTGTGATTAAAGTAATTTATTTTACTAGTAGGCATTAGTATTGCCGAAGAAATTAATTATTGCCAAAAAAATTGAATTTTAAAATGTCATTAAGTGTTTACTGTAAATAATATAATAATGTACTCTTAAAAGTTTTAAGTATCTAATAATTATATTTTTAAATTTCAACAAAATAACTAAAATTGTTATTCTAGGTTTTAATACATTTTGAAAAAATTTGAACTGTAAATAGGTACTTTTTTTTTAGTTTAAATATATTCAATCTGTTTACAAAATAAAAAAAATAAGTAATAACTAATAAGGATAACATAGAAAAGTACATAATATACAAAAATGAATAGCATGAAGAGGAGACCGTTCATTAGGTAACAGAAATTTTTTTTCCCATATTTAAAGAGATCTCTAGATCAGTTTCTTTTTAATCGATGGGGAATTTGTGGTAATGTAAGAGAGGACATGTTTTGAATGAAGGGGTATATGTGGTTTGTTAATTTTGAATGGAAACTTTTATAGTGGCTTTTTGCAAGCTCGTTTAATGTTTGTATTTTTAGGTCATTATGGAGGGCTGAATTTTTTATGTACCATGGAGCACCGGTGATAAGGCTTAACTACCGTCTACAGGTGATTAGGTAATTAACTGGAAGGCTTAAATAGGGTGAATGTTTGCAGGTTTTGCAGGGCCCCAAAGGTTTTTAACGCCCAGCGTTTTAATTCCTGTGTTTTTATACACGAAAAAGTGCATGCAGCACCCAAAAACAGAAACCTGAATAAACGATTAATGTAGAATGCATTGTGTGTAACGTATATTTAGGGATCTAGGTTTTAAATATTTGATAATGATAATTTTTTCATTCTGTATTATTTACAAAAATTACAAATTCATATCGAATAATATGTGGAATTATATATATTTGTAATTTATACTAACTAAAATAGAGCATCTAATACTAACTAGTAATTATTCGAAATATTAGTTTTAAATATAGAGTTTGAACTCCCAGGAAAGAATATCCGCATTACCGGGAATTCCCGAAAAACCCGGGATCGCGAATTCTGGGTATACCCAAAACTGTCAAAAAAGACAATTTCCTTGAGTAATTATTTTTTATTATAGATTCTAGACGATAAGGGTGTCCAGACCGGGTCAGGTCTCGAAAATCTTCATAATGATTTCGATATATCCAAGAAACATAATTCTTTACTTACTATAAATTTGTATTGCATCATAAAGATAGAGAAAGCGGACTGTCGGTCAAACAGGTTGCTTATAATGACACAATATATAATATTTGTATAGCCTTTTTGCTGTACCTCCCGTTTTTGTCATACCTATTTATTTTACATCTAGATTTTGAGTTTACATTTTTTAGATTCTGAGTCGAACGCAGAACGTATTGATTTTACAATGATGTGTGTTTTTTTATTTTTGTGTCAGTTATCACGGTTTAGAGCATGCTTCGATTTTTTTCAACAGTATCTTATTCGACGGGAAAGTGAATCTAGTTGGTGCATTCAGGAGGTCAAATTTTAAAATTCAAAATAGTTTTCAAATGCGACGGGAAAAACAGGAATTTTTACACAAAAACGGTTTTCCACAAAATCGTATATTCATGAAACTTTAACTGGTAGTTTAAATTTACACGATAACATTTTCAAAACATTTTGATTTGTTTTGGACTGTTAAGGAACATTTCCAGTTTCCAATTTTATTAGTCTTTTTTTCTAAAAATATCAATAAAATTTTATTTGTTGGGTAAAAAAGCTTGAAAATTTAATACAAGGCTCCTGATATATTGTTACAATACCAGTTAAAAAATATTAAAAATCCTTAGTCATAATTTCTTTTTATAAGCATTTAAAGTTCAAATATTGCAAAAATACGGAAAAATCACGATAATTAGCAAATTATTATGAGTTGAAAATTCATAAAAATTTTTCTTATTAAATCTAAGATTTTAAAATGTAATACAATATTACTCATAAGTTTGTCTACCTTTATCAACAAAAACATCTCTACCGGAAAGTCAAATTAAATTTTAATGAGCGTTTAAAGTTCACACTTTAATAATATTGGATATAACTTGATTCTCATGTAGCGGTTTTGTTATTTTATTGTTATTCAAAAACGAAAACGAACTATTTATGTGGAATCTTCTTTTAAATTTTCAATCCTTAGATATAAAAGTTGAACGTTTTATTAATTTTTAACTACAAAATAATTATTCAATTTTAAATTTGATAAATTTTGTCAAAATTCGATCTTAAATGCTTATAAAAAAAATGTTGAATAATGAATATGCATTTTTAATATTTTTCAACCGATATTGTAATAATATATCAGGAGCCTTGTATTAAATT